GTACGAGGTACGTCAAGCAGATATGACTTAAATCATGTTATTTTTATGGAACTTAATAAATAAATTAAAAAAATATAAAAATTAACTTTATTCTATATATAATAAAAAATGAACACAAAAAATTGCTTATAGTTTAAAAAATAAAATTTTAATTCGACTATAAGTAATATTCAGCTATAAAACGAATAATAATGGGGACATTTGAGTTTAATAGTAGATATAGGTCGTCCAATGCTACAGTTGACATTGAATGTGGAAATCAGATGCGCTATTGCGTATTCATTGCCTGACACGTACCCTGGCGGTTCGCCAAGTAGACCATCAGCTCGTTCGACTGTTTGCTCCGCAATGTATACGTTATTAGGCACATTATATTTATAACAACCCAGACTAAACAGCGCAGCCGTGCAGTGTTAATTACGAAGCGCATAAATGCTTAAACAATAAAGTATGAAAGCTTTATTTTTACTTCGTGTTTTTATCTATAAAAGACAGTTCATGTTAAGCTTATTTGAATTAAATGGAAATTAATTATGCATAAAGTAGTGTTGGTAGTTAATTACGCTGTGGAGTGGAACATTTGCGAGTTTAAATAGTTTTATTATAATAAGCGCAAAGTTTATTAGAGTTTATGCATTTAGTGATCTAGATAGTAAGTACCAGAATATATGTGTTAGTAACTTCTCCCTTTAATTAAAAAAGTCTTATGCAATATTTGGCACAATTATTCATATTTTTGCTGCAAGTCCCATGAGTAGAAATTGTATAATATAAAAATGTCCTAATACTATTATTATGTAATAGTATTGTGACATTTTTACATTTTTACATTTTTACAATAATAGTATTATGACATTTTTATATTATACAATTTCTACTCATTAGACTGGGGACATGGGTATTGACCTGGACTCTTGTATATTATCATAGGTATACCATTGCATTTACCTTTATGGTACTTTCATATAGATAGTACCTACAAGCACGATGGTAATCATTGACATGCAATTACTGTGTGGGCAAGGAAGTGGTCTGACTAACGGTAGGTATAAAATGATGGGATAACTATATCTCATTTCCATGTAGCTTCCGTTATTTAGATAGATGACAACACGTGATGAACCAGTTTGAACTAAGACATGTGTTACCTTTTCTCTTTGGCTAGTAATTTAAACTTGTTTACAAATAAGTCAAACGTGTTTATAATAATCTCGGTATTCTGACTTAGAATTAATATATAGGGCTGGGCTATACCTTTAAACGTGTATTGTTTGCTTTTTCATATGTGTGACTAACTCTCTGAACCAAGAGACGAAACATTAAAAAATATGAAGTCGGCATTAGCTTACTGAAATACAATATTAGCCATACGAATCTACATGCGGCAAATTTATATACAAATTTTAGAGAGAGTGACGAACTTCTTAGCATTCTATGGATTCACCGTGCGTGTGCCGGATCCATCGTGTGGCAGAGAGGGAAACTCAGAGCAGTTCTTGGAACTTGTGACCCGGCTGTATGTTTGTGTTTCTCTCCATGTTCAGTCAAATTTGGTAAGACTCTACGCAACTTTAGATACAAGTTTATTGCAATTCTAGATAGGCCAACATTTTTTACAAGATGGTAGAGAGAATTCGATGGTATACTTCTCGTTTCCACTCTGACCGCATATAAAATAACCTCATAGCCATTTTTATTAATCTGTTTATTAGTTCGTAATTATTATTTGTTTTTATTACATGGTCTTTAGATATGTTTGTTTTCTATAATACAGTGAGCTGTGTCTAATATATATATGTACACTTGCTAATTGAATGTAAATATCTGAACAATGTTTTTTGATGTGATTGCGTCGCAACTAGCTGTAACTATATTGTTCATCTTAACTTAATGAGCTGTTCCTTAGAACATTTCACAATAAAACCAGGCAAATATTTGAGAAATTTCATTGACTCAAGTACTTAATCCTACTCGTTGTATTTTTAAGACTAATATTTACATAACAAACTTTACATGGAATTTGCTTAGTATCCTTTATTCGTATACCTGCATGCAAGCGTGTAGATTTGCTATGTTATTTGAACACTATAATAATAATAATCTCAGGACAATTCACACAGCGTGTGAGGAATCGAATCCTCGACAATCGGAAGGCTGTGTGTTAAACCGCTCATCACCGAGCCCGTCCTATAATAATTTGATAAATTTACAATATTTACAAGGACTTGGAATGATTTAATATGATAGAATTGAATTGGCATGGTAGTAATTTTTTATGATTAAAACAGTTATGTAAAATTATATTGAACTTTTCGAACTTATCGCATGATACATTAAAAATGTCGTTTTATTTTTAAATAGATATGAAATCAAAGTTAATAGCGGTTTGATATTCAATGGCAATAAATTGCATCTAACAGAAAAGTGTGTCGAGCGCATTATTTTTATAAAAACAACTTTTCCCATGCTTGATAGTGTTAACATACATGAAATAACTCAATAAAATTAACATTTACTTTCTATTTATATTTTCTCATGGAAAGTTAATATACCTAGTATAAGGCAAGTTGCATATGTAGTTGTATCAACGCAAAAAGCTGTTACTCTATAAAATAATAACAAAAACAGTAGTTGAGTAATTTCACACGAGGTAAGCGTATGGATACACGTGGGATTTGTGGGAAGGGGTACTCAAGCGTTTAACTCGCGTGCATCGATTCCAATGAAAGTCAGTTTTATAATAATGATTACTTACAATACCATGATTAATAAATCTATTTAAAATATACTATAGTCTAACAAATTGCAGAGATGTGACGTGTGTATATTGCAAAAATGTGTTTATTGATAAGAAATTTTTACATAGTAAAGACCTCCTAACTATTCTGCTAAATTTAAAAAAAAGTTATAATAATCCTCTGTCAGTCATAGGTAATACAGATATATGTGTTATTACTCCTTTATATCCTTAAGGTATCTAATTAACTAAGAGAATTCAGCACCTCACGGAAATGTACGAAACGATATGTATATATATAAAAAAATAAAACTCTGTACCAAACGGGAAGACCTAATTGATGGCAATGGGATAACCTCACCCTCTAATGAAGAGAACTATGCCTTTTAGTAAGACGTTACTAAGTAACTTTTAAAAAAATCTAATAAATTAAAACTTAGCTAACATTCAAATATTGATTTGAATGTTATTTAGTAATTCAAGTTTTGTTTTCCAAACATTGAATTAAATTAACCAATTTCAGCATTGGTTTGCATTTACGAAACGCGTTTTGCCTCTAAATTAGAATTCACCGTCATTTTCCCTATGATTTGTAGTCTACATATACGCTGGCCACTTAACATGAAGTGACCAATTTGTTGCGTGGTTCAAAAAGGAAACACTTGTAGGAACATGACGCTGACAAATAAGGGAAGCATACAAATTAATACAGATTTAGTATTTAATTCTGTATTAGTATTCGATTCATAACTTCATGTATGCACAAATAAGGCCTAAGTGTAACAGTGAAACTTAAAATGTGACTTTATAACAAAATTGCTGGCTAACGTGGTATTAACAGGTTGATATGTTAACGTTTCTAGGAGAAATCAAAAGACCTCAAGACAAACGATAAGTTGTATGGACATATACTATCACTTATCTTAAAAAAAGTAAACGAAGTCGCGGATAACAGCTAGATTGTGATAAAATAGATTAAAATATCGGGCATTTCCAAGGATATTAATGACTATAGACAAAGTACTTTTTATAATACTAAAATATCATCTTGTTCTTGATCTATTCCTCATGAGTAGTCAAAGCTGAGAATCAGACTGTTCTTCTGTTAACGATTGATGTTCAGACTCCTTAGACCGATAATATGTAATAATGTTGTTACTTCATGATAGACATATATAGGTAAGAGAGCAGTATGCCTCGCCTAAGTATATATTTCGCTGCGAATATTTAGAACAAAACCATACACAATGAGGCTTACTTAGTAGGACTCTTTTGTTCACAAACGATCGTATTAAAATAACTCATGTTATTTTAAATCTTAATTTTAACCGCGAAAGTCACATGCGTCAAACACAAGTATATATATATATTTAAATAAATGTGATCCAGATATCTTAAATTCTGTCAACATGCATTGCCAACGTTTCTGTCCTTACAACGTAGTGACGTCTTTATATTACTCGAAACACGCACTTTACGACGACGATAACGGTTCTTCGATTAAGCAACTTAAATTGAATTGTCTTGGTCGATGAGCTGTCGTACACGTGAGCTATACTGTATTTAAATGTTCACAGTTTTATTATATTACACTCTTTTTAGTCGGTTCCGTATAATATTAAATGACTTCAGTAACTAGTGTAGTATTTCAACAAATTATGTTGCGTGATCATTTGAGGCCTTGTACTTGATATTTGGTTGGACTGTAAAATGAACAACCACTTCTAAGTAACGTCAAAATACAAATAAATGTATTGTACTCTTCTTACTAACCGCGTGAAGAAGTGTCGGAATATTATTAAAGATTCAGAGGTATATTTACTTTCACAAAAAACTGACTATTATAATCAATCATAAAAAAAAATTCAATGACAACACTATTGATGCTGTAAATGCTATCAATCGGAGAAAAAGTGCCACACTGAGTACCTGCTTATTTTGAATGTTGGTTGAAAAATTTACATTATAATTATTGTTCTACAAACTAGTTTTTCCATTACCTACATATTTTATAATTATCTGGTAGTGAAAACTTACTCGGTTTTATTAATATTATTTTATTCTTTTTTTTAATTAGCTAAGCTATACAGCAAGTAAATAACAAAATGGAACACAGTATTGCGCCCCCTTATACACTCTGCTTATAGGTAATCAGATATTTCATGGCAGTTATTTGTAGTGTATGTGTAGTATAACTACCCATTTGTGTGATAAATTTATGTTTTTGTAAACAAAAATTATAACAACTTCATTTTTGTTACAGGTTAGATCCTCCAGTTGCGCAGACACAATTCCAAATGGAGAACAAAAAGGCAGCCCCGGCAACACAGCAACCTCAAACCCAGCAACACATCATGGCTCATCACGTACATCCAGATCAGATTTACTCCCCTCAACATTCACAGTTATCTGCAAATCTAACATCGGCACAAACTGGACAAATCCAACCGAATGGCGTCATGCACCAACTACTACAAAGCCAATACCATTCAAATATGAATGCGCGGTCACCGCTCCTAGAAAACAGACGTGAATTGTATGGAACAGGACACAATCAAGACTACACAAGGCACTATGGAACGAATGATAATTATAATTACCCTCAATCTCCTCCAAGGCAAGAAAGAACGGATATGCACATTGACCATAATGTCAATCACGAATTACTACAAAATATTCCTAAAGGATATAACGCGGAGGTCTATCAGGATTATTTGAAACGTAACCCACCGAAAGATGCTAATCAAATATACCAAAATCATCAACCTATGTATAGGCCTAATGTAAACCAATACGGTTCAAAACCATATCTACCATATTCAAATAGGATAGGACCACAAAGTAATACTGAGTTATTACGTAGACAATACAACGAAATCCAACAAATGAAATTGCAGCAACAGCTACATTACCAAAACCAGGCGCAAATGCACCAACAACAAAAATTTGCTGAGCGACAGCTATTGCTCCAACAAATTCACGGAGTACATCCACCAGCTAATTTGCAAAATAGTATATATTCATCTGACAGCTTTTTTACAGATTTAGATCGATACAGTAAAAACGATTTTAAGGACTATAGTAGTCCCGATATACAAAAAGATATAGAAATGTATACGAAAGCCAATGAAATGGAGAAACCGTTAAATAGGCAGTACCAGGAGTCGCAATGGCAAGCAAATCAGCCTAGTGACTTTAGAGAAACTGAAAAATATAGAAGACAGTCAGAAGGAGATAAAGGTATAATTCAATCTCCACCCTCTGATTATAATAATCAATACGAAAGAGGTAACGTGGGCGTGGTATCACCAATGAAATCTAGTGAATCAAGCAGCCCGAGCGTTAAGTCTCCATCATCTGAAAGCCGCAGAAGTAGTGGTGGAAATCAAGCATTAAAATCTCCTATAGCGCAAAGGATTCCGTCTGCTCCTGTAACAATTTCTGGCATTTTGTACAAACAGGGTTCCGATGGACTAAAAGTATGGAGGAAGAGATGGTTCGTGTTGTCGGAGTATTGTTTGTTTTACTATAAAAGTAAGATTTTTTTAATTTGTTAGTTCAAAATATATTGACAAGGTAAACTTAATGTTAGTTTACCTTGTCAATATTTCTTTAGATTATTAGACTAAGAGGGAACAACAAATAGTGAATGGACAAAATGGGAAGTTTAACCTTAAAAAGTAAAGTTCTTCCATAAGGAACTATAAGTCTATGAAATCGTTACATAGTTGGTGGTTTTAATCAATATATAATTTCCAAATCAGGCGACTTACAATTAATCAGCTTGCAATTAATATGAAAGATTTGCAAAGATAATTTTTGATATCCCTAATAATTTGAATACAAATTACATTATAGGGTTGAATGATAGAATTCTATTAAAGTTTCATTTCCTTTTTGTAACTATATTCATATTTATTTGGATATTTAATCAAAAAGTCACAATGGAGCTGAGGAAGTATGGCTTAATATCTATCTTTACTATAGGTAAATGTGTAATTTGTAGTGCATTTCCCTAGGAGAGCTATTAAGCTTTATTTTCTCAGTCGCCTTATAACCCTGGTACTGCACTCATCACTATATTGATTATTTATTTATGCCATTAAACTTATATTTTAATACCTATTATAGGTCAAGATGAAGAAAAACTATTAGGGTCGGTGCTTTTACCTTCCTATAAAGTCTCTGCATGTTCTCTCGATGACAAAGTTATGAGAAAATTCTCATTCAAGTTAGAACATGCCAATATGAGAACATATGTTCTGGCTGCACCAGATCAAGAGGCAATGTTAAAGTGGGTGAAGGCGTTAACTATGGCTGCATTGATGCAGAATCCAAAGTGAGTTGTTTTTCACATGAGACTAATATATTGTGTAGCATATAAATTGCTTTGAAATTAAATAAAATAATTCTTGTTTAAAATATTTTGCATCGAACTGTTTATTAGTGTTTATAGACTGAGCTAATTTTAACAATAATATACAAATTTGATACAGTTACACTGATTAACTCTTTAGAAGGTATAATACTTTTTTATACTGAGATAATTAATACTTCTATATAAAAATAGTGGTTTGTTTAATTTAGTCAGTCTCATCGTATATTAATCTGTAATATAAATAGAAAATTATTTAGTCTACAGGAAATACGTAAATATGAGAAACTATCGATATCAAAATCTACTTTTAACCATATAGTCGTACAAACCTCGCAGCCTTTGACGAGGACTCTAACATATATTATTATATTACTACTTATTTATCAACATGTTATTTAATGATTGAAAGTTTTTTTATATTTCTTTATTTAGTCCTAGCAATAACGGGTTATACAAGTTGATAGTAATTTAAGGCAATCTACTATTTTCAGTGAACAACCACAAAAGCATAGTGAGAGGGCAGCTGCGAAAATAGAGGTTAGTATTATTGTGCGCACGGATGTGTACGATGCAGGTGATCGGCAATTAGTGAGCCAGAGCGGAACCAAGGACAGCGATTACACTGTCGTTATAACTGCGCATAATGATCGGGATGTCATTGCAAATTGATACTATCATTAAATATTGAAATGTATGCATATTAGCATTTTTAATCGATAGTTTTGTTTATCCAGGTTTTTCTAAGTATTCTACAAGAAATTGGAATGTTTTGTTCATAGTTCAATAGCCAGTACTTATTCTTATATTTTCTTTTTACACATATATTTATTTTTCTTAGGACAGCGACGAAGTACCCGGACCAACGTATGCTAACGCTCCACCAAAACCGAGACGTTCCAACGAAGGATATAACTCGCCCAGTCCTGATATGTAAGATTATTATTACGCATTTTCACTATCTTCACAATGTAATACTAGTAAACAAATTGAAACATTTAATAACATTACAGGTATGACCCAAATTACGATATACTCAAAAAGCCAGCATCACACTACAGTCAGAGCACTTGTCACATTCGTTCTCAAGATAACACAAATTATACAACTAGTCCAAATCAGGAGAGCACATACACCCGTAGTCCGCAGTCTCCACCTTCAGCACAGCAGCAACCTCAATACCAGATGAAACGTCCTTACGACACGCAACACCTTTCCTTACCTTTGACTAATACTGTTACCGATAGACTTGAAAACAACCTACCTAGCACATCATCTGCGTATAGGTCTAATCCTCAATCGCCTTATTTTAATAATAGGGATAGGAGTCAACCGCAACCGCCCATGATTCAAGAAAATGTACAAGGACAAATATATGACACACAGCGTAAAAGCCAACGCAATCCTTTCCTTCAAGATAACTCACCGCAAATAGAAAATGAGTCAAAACAAAGTGATGTTCAAAATAAAAATAACCGACTAGTGCCGGATGCTAATAGATCCCAGTTAAATTATAATGAAGCATATACCGAAACTCGTCCTAATTTAAAACAAAGTGATGATACTAGTACTTACAGTAGAGAAGTTTATGGTGAGCTGAATGCGAGACAAAACAGAACGCCTGGGATAAATGAGCGATTACTAAATGAAAGACGAACACCAGATGCTTACGGTCGATCGACATCTATGGGTTCCTACAATAGAGGAAAGGTTGGAGATTATGAAGATGTATATGGAATGTATGCTACCGAAAATGAATATGGCAAAACATATACTAAATCACCACCCAGCGTTATTCAGCAAAATGTAAGCGGTGCATATAATATCAAGCAATCTCAAGAAATAACTGGAAATGTAAGTATATTAATATACAGAAATGTTTCTATGTCACTAATAGTCTACCAAATTGTTATTGTAAATTATTAAAGTTTTCGGCTACCTATTGAACAGCTATCGTTCTGGCCTATGGGATGATGACTAAATAAATAAGTAGTTATTTTTATACAACATTAACATTTTACGGTATTTAAAAAAAAAAATTCCTTAATTCTATAATATTATATTATATTTCTATTATTTTAGGTTCAGGAGAAGATATTTAGTGGACCATCAGTTTTGAGAAGGAAAAAGATGCAATCTTCTGGAATTCAACCACCAATGCCCAGACCCCATAGCGCAGATTTTCTTGAATATGAATCTAAAAATGAAATGCTTAACAAAACAATGCCAACACGTTCAATTTATGAGCAGGCCAAACAACCTCAAAGACCTAAATCCAGTCTCGATATAAATTCGTATTATGATCCTAGTTCAGATAGATACTATTCTGAAGAAAGCTATGCTGAAAAAATGCGACAATCCGCTCAGTACTTGCAAGCAAGTAAACAGCAAGGTTTGGGGTCGCGTAATATACAAATACCTTTGGCAAAATATGCCAGTGGTTTGGCTGAAAAACAATTAAATTCACCATATTCTCAAATTACTAATAATAACTACGAAACTGAGTTTGGAGCAAATAAAATAGTTCGAGATAATGTAAGTTATAATTCTAAACATAGCGATCTAGAAGGATTGAATTCTAACTGGACTTTAAAAGAAAAGGGTATTGAGAATCAAAAAGAATACGTAAACAGAAGTGGAAGTGTTATGAGTGATGGCTCTAACGTTAGTGCGTATACTAAAGACATGAATAAATTTGATGCATCTTCTGAAGGGTTTATTCGATCAGCGAGTGCAAGATTGCCATCAACCACCACAGAAAAGGAAGGCGATAAGAAAATCCAACAGGTACTTAAATAACCTTAACTATTTGTGAACTGGCAATGTTATTATTGTGTGAAGAATAACCTCATACTCCGTATGGCCTAGTGCTAGCAATGTGCCTTATATGTAACATATATTAAATTTTGTATGTTTATTTTTATAAGATTATTCGTATTCACAGTTATTACTTTCCAATAAGTAGTATTTGCTACTCAGAGGCTTGTAATTTTTTTATAGACTATGTAAATATTGCTATCCATATAAACTTAAAATGTAAAATTATTATAAACTACATGGCCTAGTGAAAATAATATTATTCTCTCTAATATTTCCAGCGCGAAGAATCTATGAAGCGTTTGTTAGAGTGGAAACAGAGGATGCTCCAATCTCCTTTAACAAGAAAAAGTACACCAGCCACTATATCTCTTGCCAGGTCTTTGAATCAAAGTCGTCAGTCTTTGAGATCAGACCAATTTAAATCCAAGAATTACACAAATGCTTCGTATAACAGCTACTCTTCTGATGATGAAGGTATGTGCATGTCTATGACATCAATACAGGTTGACGAAATTTCTCTTAAACGTTTCATTGTTAGTAAATTTTAAATTTCATAGCATGTACGAAATTTAACTTAATTTTAATACATTTATTATTATTTTAGAAACTATTTGTATTTACTAGTATTACTTGAAACAAAATAAAGCATGCTTTATAAAATAAAAGTACAGAAATGCATGGACGATATATTATTTTATATGAATACACTTAACATCCAAGGCAACGATTAAAATTTTGTATGTTTACCCTTATATTGGATTTCCCTATACGTATATCTCCAATAATATATTCCTGAATGAATTATTATTATTATAGAAACGAGCTCGTATAATTTTTTTTCAGATACTATATAAAAACAATATTCCTTTATTTTTAATATTCACCATGAATTGAGTTTTATTATGAATAAATATTTAACAACAATAAAAAATATAATACATACCTGTAATAGTATGATATATTATTTTTATTTATATCCTAGTGTAGTATATTATAGCATATCTATACATAGATTCGTCTTGCAGTAGCAATATAATGACTTCGCTTTGCGGAAAGGTACCTTCCTGCCTGCGGGAACATTGTGTCACTAACAAGTTATAGTATGGTATATATCGGTGGTGGGTTTTGCTAGTATCGTAATTAATTTGCATCATTCTCTAACATTTGGAGTCACCTTTATTTACTAACTGATATGGCAGAAACATAACAAAATGAAATGTTTCAAACAACTGATTAATTGGTAGTAGAAGAAAATAAATATCGGTTTCACTTTTGCACTCAGAGGAATCATCGGGCACTGATCTGCAAAACTCGAGAGGTACGCAGGCAGGAAGGTCTCACAGAGTGAATCTAACAAGTATTAATAGTATGAAACCTATAACCCCGCCCACGCCCTGTACTGGTAAAGTAACCGACTGTGATAACAATAATAAAAATTTACTAGACAATAATAAAAACACGTTAGAAAGTACATACGAAAATATTGTTTCTACAATACCTGCCACAAAAATAAATAATGATAATAACAATATCCATAGTGATACTATGATTAAAAGCGATGAAACAATGGATGGTAAGAAAAATGAAAAATCAGAAATGGATCAAAGTGGTTATGAAACTCATGAAAGTGAAGCAGAATCTGAAACGCAACTTGAATATACAGATTATGATTTAGACGAGGTTTTGTTAGAATCTGATGTTGAAGTTCAATCGTCAAATGTTGAATTCTGTGGAAGTGCAATGGAAGTTGAAAAAGGTAATGATGAGAAAATCCAAATTACTAATGTGGAAATATCTGTAACCCCACCTATAACAAATTCAGGAGAAGATCACTATTTACCAATGAGCCCCCGTAAAACATCAGTAATAGAACCGGCACATGAAATGATACTTAAAAATTTGAGCGTATTTGACAAATCTATGCCTGCAAATTATGAAGATAGTCCTTATGTAGAAATGAACTTGGGAAATGAAGAAGAAGATATGCAGACATATGAAATTGTTTGTGTCAATAACGGAAAGATTGAACCAGTATATATGGAGTTGAGTAATTTAACTTTTCCTGAAGGCGAAACAGATGATCCAAAACAAGGTACAAAATCATCATTTGATACTGCCTCAAATTTTGCTGATACTAAGGATCATACTCTGAAAAGAGTTACTAAGAGTGAAAAATTATCGAAAAGATCAGATTGCTCCGATACAACTGATGACGAAGGATCTAAGGACGTATCATTGCATACTCCTTTTAATAGATTCAGTATTTCTGATACATTTAGACCAGCCTCATATTATTTACGTGGCAGTCGAAATATGCTAGTTCGAAAAGACGGTTCAGATAACGAGATAATACCAACTCTGCCTATTACGGCAACACCCTGTGAGGAGTTGTCAGATGAAGCGCTTTCAAACTATATTTTAGACAAATTAGATAAGTCTGATATATTTCAGGATAATTCTATTTTAAAAATGCTAACGAGAGAAAATCAAAAAATTAACCAGAAGAAAAATATTTCTTTGATGATTTATGGAAGTCCAACGTCTATCCATGATACTCTTCTAAGAGGTGAAAAGGTTCGTACTAGTAGAGCTAGTCTAAATAGCGATATATCTAAAGTAAACGAAACCACTTCTAAATTATTAAGTCACTCTATTCTTGAGCATTATAATTCTAGTAGCATTGAAACAGATTCTTTACAAAGTTATAACGCAGATAGAGGATCCTCGAGACTATCATCAGAATCGGACATAAGTAGTAAATTTGAAGTAGTTCCATCGAATCTTTCATCCGAAGTTACTAGTTTGAATGGAAGTGAATCAGCTATTGATTTAAGACATGCGAGTGGATATCAAGACGTAGAAATGATGTTAAAAAGAAGGCCACTTTCTGATGATTCTATATTTGAATTTGTTAGTCCAGATAAAACCGTATCGGTTAATGATCATCCCGTTAGTGATGATTTAGATAGATATTTGGATAATCTACAACCAAAAACCTCTCAGATGAATATAAATATTGATGAAAATTTTAGAACAAATATGTCTTTTCCACAAGATAGTTCTACATTTAAAGATAATGTTTTGAGAGCTTCCAATGTTTTAACAACTAGTCATATCCGCTGTTCAAGTACCCCTGTGGGGCATTGTAGCAAAACAAACATTCTTGAAAATAAGATCAGTCAGCAAAGTCGAAATGTTGCTGAATATTTGTTATCAAGTTATACCGGTTCACAAAGTTCTTGTAGTTCAGCTGGAATGCCAAAATCGCCTTTATCTTACTACAGTAAAAATTATGATGAAGAGGAGTTATTGATTAAAAATTTAAATAATGATGATTCAGCAGATAAGATTAAAGAGTTTGAAAGTCAAAAATTAGCTCTCAAATCGGAAAATGATACAAATGTTTCATTAATATCGACTGGTTTCCATAGTAGAGATAGTTCCACAGAGCACAGTGCGCCATATTACTATTCTGATTTGTCATCACAGGAGCATATTAATATTTTGCCTACATCACATTATTTAAAGAATACTAACCTTCATCGGCGATTAAATAATCAACGACGAAGGGGTCCATTGCATAAGAAAAATGAAATTTCACATATACATAATCCTATTCGTAATAATCACATATTAACCTCTGAACGGTCGTATGAGTTAGCCGCTTCTGCTCGAAGTGTATCTGTAGAATTTTTAAGTGCTGCTGATAAAGATCCTGAAATAGATATGAAAAATATTTACGAATCAACAGATGGCAGGAATTCCAAGATTCCAGAATCTATGAGTTTAATGTCTGTTCTTGGATGCAAACGAAATTCTGGTAATCACAGTAATACTGAAACTTCATCACCGGATTTGAATATCGATAATCGAAATGAATTAAATACATCCATTAAACTATCAACTGCAAGTATGTCCTCACATTGCAGTGGTACTTCTTCAAACACGGTGTATTATGATGCGGAAGCAGAAACTAGTGCTTATGAAAATATTATCTGTCAGGGCGAAAAGCACTGGGATGAAGATGCATTATGGCGAGATAATTTGAGAAGAGTATCTCATAGGCATGCTAGATCAATGGATGATTTAGATACTGTACCTATGGAAACTTCTTTAATATGTCGAAGAAGTGATATTAATGGGATGAATAGCATTAAACGTGTAAGGAAAAATAGTTTAAATAAAATAAGTCGTAATGTAACGTATGTGAATTGTGATATTCAAAGTCAAGTTTTACGGCGTAGAGAGAAAACCCCTAATTTTCATAGTATTTGTTTCGAAGAGGATGAAAAATTAGATGACAATGATGTTTATGTTAGTCTAGCTGAAAATACTGAGATCCCTATGAAACAGTCAGACGAAGGTGTATATGAACAACTTTCTATTGAAACAGGATTACAAAATCTGAATCTAGTAGACGTATCTGACATTAGAAGGAAAAATAGAAAAAAGTTTGAAATTGATAGGGAAAAGCTGCGGCAATGGGATTTAATGTCAAGTGGTCTAATGAAAGGGGCAATAGGTGGAGTACGGGGCGTGGGCGCAGGTATGGGAATGGGTGATGCTATCTGTAATATGGACACCGCAAATGACTGTGCAAGCAATGAAGGTATCCTCTAACATTCATATGGCCCTGTAAGGTACAATATGTAAGTTTAATTTATCTTATGATCTTTAGCAAAGCAAAGTCATTATTATTGTCAGATAGTTCTTGTAAATAAATTTTAGTGAAACTGTTTTGGCGTTTTGGAAGGGTTTAAAAACAAGATAAAGTGATCGTATAGAATATTATGGCATGCAAAATTAACGTTGTACATAGTACAAAACATTACTAATTAAGGCAATGCACACTTATCATGTTTTTGTTCTTTCATCGGTATTTTTATAGTTAGGTGACACTACGTAATTTATAATTTAAATAATAATTTATTTATTTACCCTACATTTATTTCTTACAGCTTCTATGACAATGTCAGGCACAAATATAAATTTAAATTTAGAAAATAATACTACGAATCAACAAGCATTGTCAAAGAAAGGTTTTCTCGGAAGTAATACGTCAATTGGAAGAAATAATCGAGATGCTAATATACCAGTACGTGCAGTTAGTCCTAGAGTGAGATGGGTAGAAGATAAATTACCCAATGACCATTTCGGCTCGCAACAGATATCAGCTTCCCACCAGAATGTACGTATCTTTTATGATCTATTAATGTGTAATTATACCGATTCGTAAATATACTTGTTTGTTATTTAAGTCTTCTTATATTCTTCTTATATCTGTTAGTATATTAATTGTTGAGACTCTACTTCTAATGTTACATATACACTACAATATAAATCCATAAAGTTATATATATTGATTCTATTTTACAGTTACATACACTGACATCTACAGAAGATTCGTGGGCGAACGCTCGATCGCCTTCACGAGTATCTCAGCAACCTATTCGAGCTGTTAGCCCGAGGGTTCGAAGGAATACTGAACCAGATGCTTTGGTAAAATAAGATTTGATTATTATTATACATTATTATACCGTAGTTAGTGTTATTATTTGTTATTTAATTTCTGCTTTTTGACTTCTGTTGCATTTTTTGTTATTACCATTAGCAAAGGGAAACTCAACGACCAGGTCATGGCGAACGATTGAGTGATGTTCCTACTGCTGGGGAGCTTCTAGGTAGAACTCACGAAGAACTTGTATTGCTCCTTATACAGTTGAGACGACGGCATGCTGCAACTCATCGAGCCATAGAGAATTGCTGCTCACAAATTAATAGTATAGAGGTGCTTAATTATTATTTTATTTTCCTCTCCTTATTACAATAATAAATCTTAGGTAGAATAAAAAAATTATTTCAGGATGCTTGTAACATATGATTTGAGCTTGAAATAAATTTAATACTGTATTATAGTTCTGTACCGTTATTACAAAATATTTTAATAGCTTAAAATATCTTTAGGACTGTCTCGGTTCCTTAAAAGCTTTGGAACGTGAAGAAAGTCTACAACGTTTGGAGCAGTTAAAGGTGCAGTTGATGGAATTAGAACATCAGTATGAAAAAAGCAAGCCATTAGTGCAATTGGTTGACAATATGGTAAAGTTGGGTTCATTATACAACAGGCCAGGATCCACTGTAGAGCGTCTAGAAAGAAATCAGAGATTGAGACAAAAAGTACTCGCTGAACATGCCTTCGAACAACAGAGGTAAGAGATATTGCTTTAATCCTAAATTGATTATTATCTAAAGTAATATTACAATTTATTATTCGTTATTATTATAGTATTAGTATAAACTCAAAAAATATTATTTTTATACACTTTTTAATTATTTTATTAAAACCTAGATTATCGATAAGTGACATATAAAGTGAATATCTAATAATAGATTATATTTTTTAAATATTTGATTACAATTATATACAAGATGAGTTATTTCCCTCTTAACCCAATTTCTTTTATTATACTGAAGATGTTCAATTACATGACTATATTTATTTATTCATTTTTATGACATACCATTGAAAGTTTTTAAAATTCAATATCATAGGTGGCTTGAAAGTGCAGCGGCCGGAAAGCCTTTAGAAACTGAAGCAGCTCGAGCTAGAGTAGCAGAATTGTGGGCGTTGGAGCAGGAATTAGCAGACGAGGCCGCAATACTACAGGGGCTCAAGACCGATAAGGATGCTATTGAGTCCCTACTTACTGGTAAGCAAACATTTATGTTAGGTATATGTATAGGTAATTTCAAGTAATATGTTTCTATGACTTTATTTATATATTGAGAATAAAAAAGTATTCCCTTTTATTCCCTTCTATATTATAAATATGTCGTATTAAGGCGCCATCTAGTCTCAAAGCAGAAACTATATTAAAAAAAAAGGAAAAGTCACTTGTATTATGAGAACTATATAACTGTTAAATATACTTTCTTCTTTGGGAATGCTGATACTGCGTTTTGGATCATACCCGAGGAAATTGATTTGTGGATTTGACAGGGTGTTAATCGGTCATGTTATAGTCGTTTTGTTATGATTTTTATATCGCAAATTAAAATAACAATAAAATAAAATAGAATTTACTTACCTCCTTCCTTAAAAGTTTTTAAGAATTAGGTTAAGATTTTGATAATGAAAATATTTCAGGTGTACGTGGCAAGTTAGACAGTGTTCCCAGGAGTGAATTGTCTCGCAATGGAATGGGTGTCAGTGGTCTAGGAGGCGCGATCGGTGTTGGTGGTGACGGGCCAACAGTCCCACAGAGCTTTCCAACTGGCTCGGCGCTCGAGGCGGAACTAACACGAGTGCACGCCATGTTGGCGCACAATTCTAAGGTTTATAAGGTTTTCGTCTATACATGCACTTATATTTTTTGTTACATATTTTTTTTCTTAGCACAATCTCAATTTTTTATATCGTTCTATCTATCACCGCACACATTGTTTTCTTAACAGAGTTTTTTTGCTATTGATATTGTTTTCAAAGTGTTAGTATCTGACTTATAAACAAAAAAATCAGAACTTGTAGGTAGTAACTTGTAGACTTTAAATAATCAATCAATCAATTTTAATAAAGGTGATATGTTTGACAGTCATTGTATATACTAAATTTATGTTTTAATTTTATCTCTAGAACATTAAAAACCAACAACATATTTTCCTGGAGATGCATACTAATTATTATTAGATTCCATTCGATATTTACTCAGAATATGTATCATACTCAGAGTAGATTTTCTTCATGTACAGTAGTTTAATCATTATTTAATGAAAAGTAGACTTTGCACAAAGTCGTCTGCATGGGCATTGTCCGGTCGACACCAAATTTGTTTTGTTTGATGAATAAAATAAGCAGTGAAATTACTGGGCACGGAATCATGATGTCTTAGTCCACCTAAATACCGACTCATTAGTGGTAGTCAGTGCCTTTGTGCTGTACATGTATATAGGCAAGAGATACCATTTCAGGTGGGCCATTAGCTAAAATAAATTAATTCCGAGACTATGTATAAAAATATGAACTTTCTGCCTTGTTTTAAAACTGATGGGATTAAATATTACTATGAAACAGAAACTAGAGCAAACGGTAGCTGATAACGCTCGTCTGGAGCGTGAGCTTCAACAGCTGCGGCGGGCGTTGCAGGCTCGGCGCGCTGCTGCACCAGCCCATCCCACTGCTGTACTCGAAGATGGTAACTAGTTATTTTTAAATACAAATTATATTAATAATAACTAATGTCATTTATTTTGTATGAACCTGCAGAAATCATGCGTTATCGCCGAATTGGTGATAATGTAGCAAATACCAATGCTTGCAAATACTTTTTTGCTAGATTAGTTTCATATACATCTATATCTGTTTCCAGAAGTGTCACGTGTGCAACAACTAGTGTCAGCCTTACAAAGACAACGACAGGAACTGAGCCGAGCTGTACGGCATCTAACACAGCAGTCGCAGGCTCTGCAGACCACGCACCACTTTATACCCGGTGAGTGTAGAGACATAAATAGAAACTGGCTCATTTTCACATCTCAACAAGATGTTATGATATATACATTAGGCTACTGTCTCAGACTAATGCATTTATATTTTGAGTTTTTTCTATTACTGTTGATAGATTCAAAATTATTGTATTATTGAGAATCAACCTACGTTTACATCAAACATTATTAGATAACAGTAATGCAGTTCTAAACGTATTTTAATACCAATTTCATATCAAAATTCAAATGTAAGATGGCGGAGTACATATAAGTAAGCTTATGGTATAAACATATGAATACACAAAATCCAATCGTGGTATGCCCCGTTGTAGATCTTGTACAGTTATTTGCACATACGGATTTATAAACAAAAATTTAAGTGAATTTCTAATCAACTTTTTAAATTTATTCCTTTTAGGTAAACGTCGACCAATTTCGTCTTGGCAAGAGACCAATTTAGATACGGGACATACCATTGATCATGGTCAGGCGGATTATGACTATGATATGTCGAGAGAACTGTTACCTCCGGGGCATTATGAACAGGCCAATATGGATACACCATTGTACGTTGATACTCGAACATCTGCAGCTGATATCACATCACCGTTAACTAGTGAGGAAATGCAACAAAGTGGATTTGGTATGTAGAAATTTATAATTAACAAAAAGCTATAAAACTAATTTTATATCAAATACGCAATATCATACCAAAAAATATTTCTATTTTAGGTAATCTCTCTAATGTTGAGAAACAGGAAATTAAAACTGTCCGAATAGTAAAAAGGGAAAGCGAAAGACGTCAGAGAGATAGAGAACGATCACTCCAACCAATGACCGATTGGCCATCTAACAACATTTCAACAAACCTCGATCAGTTCATAGAGGAAGAATTAGTCCAATCATTGAATTATACAAGGGCATCATCTGTACCTCGAACGGATTTTAGCAAATTCGAAGAGTATTACTCAAAACCACAGCCAACACAGACCAATTATCTACAAGTAAATGATAAAAATATGGACTTAAGTCCAAAATATCCATCAAGTTCTTCATTATCAAATTATGACTATTCTAGAGACATATCATCTTTAAGTAGCAGTTACCATAAAAATTATGATAAGTCTGGATACGACCGCACTACGTCACTTTCAACACAGTATTTAAATAGTCCGACAGATAGTTCTCGAACGTTGACAAATGATCCATTATCGAAAACTAGCAGCATTGTCAGTTTGACCAGATCCCATATGGAGCTGTCTCCAATTTTCAAGAGTGAAGCAGCGAAACAGATTATTACTGAGATGTCAGGGGAACCCAAAAACGGATCATTACATAGGAGGCAAGTTCCAAAGGAGAAAAGAAGGCATAATACGGCGCCACATCATTTGAGTGCAAAAACTTTAAACGAGATGCCCAAGGATGGATATAATCAAGACGTGAGTATATGATACTATGTCTATACAAGAACATAAATATATTCTTTGTTAAAAAATAAATATAATATTTTTCAAAAACGGACCTATTTGGACTTTGATAGGATTGAACAATGTACGAATATCTGTGTGTAAATAGGTAAAATTAAATCAAAATCTGATACATGGTTTAGAAGATAACTTAGACACCGAATTTGACGAACTTAAATTTTTCATATGTTAGTAATATTATTAGTCGTTTCGTGCGAAACGTCGCCTTTCATATCAAATGGAATAAAAATAGATTTATTCATGAAGGTCTATTACAGACTCTTATGATGTATCAAATCTACCGTTAGTTTATTACGAGCATAGAAGAACTAACAAGAAACTGAGCACTTGTTCAATTACTGTAGTGACCACCACCTTATGCTACTACATTTTTTCAAAGAAAATAATCAAATCTGTGGACGTAACCCGAACAGACCTGGTCCCAAAATCAGTATCCGTTCACGAGTATGACAGATGAGATAAGAGTTTGTGCTAGAACTGTGAATTTAGATTATGTTTCTCGTAATGGTTAGAAGCTGGGTAGATCCTTGGATGACGCGGACATGGAGAGAGCTCTGCGCGGCGTGCGTGCGGCTCCCGCGCCGGACGTGGTACGCTCGGCGCTGCCGGCGCAGACGCACCGGCTGGCAGACAACACTATCGACCAGTTACTCGCCGCGCCGCAGAAAATACTAATACCAGAACGATACATACCGGAAAAGGTAAATATACGTATAGAAATATGTATTTTTTTGCCTTGTTACAAGTGACAGGCAGGTTGGTTTTCTTTAGATGAGGGACACTGAAATCAAGTACTAAAATATTATTAGTTTCAATTTTAATTATGATTCTATTATCTATTTTTATTTTATTTATTTATTTATTTCAGGGTACTAAGTCCATATTATTGTGATCTCAATTGTAAATATGAGGCATTTTACTGCACATGTATTTTAATAATGCCCGCTAGGTCATCTAGTATTATTTCGCTTTACTTTAATTTATTACTTATAAATATTTAAAATAAAAATACGTATTATTCTAATTAGTAATTCTGATTTCATCTTCCATAGCCACCAGAGCTTTCACCTGAAGAGCAACAGAAACGTCTAGAAAAAGTGGAATCAATAAAAAAAATGCTTACTAGTTCATCTGCAGACAATAATAAGGTAAAGTCTTCATAAATTAAATTAAATTTTGCTGTTTTTTGAGAGAATTTGATAATTAAATTAACTGTGGAAGTTGCTTCCAATTTTCAATCCAATATTTTTAGTGTGATTAAGAAATGTTTATGGTATTAATCGTATGTAATTTATTCATTTATTAGTCTTCTATTAGAAAATATTATTCATTATTTCATAGTGAGTCAAATATATGTTATGAAGATTGTACTCATTGTGAGATTGCTGTCTATTCACTTTACACTCCGCATACGCTCGCTCTGCTTTCATTGTTATTCTGAATGACTTTACTGTTTCTTTTGCATGACTTTTTCTATTATCTACTATAAAGAAAATAGAAATAAAAATATGAGTTGAACTTATATTTAGTGTTTGTACACCTATTTTATATCTACGATAACAACTAAAATTGAATATCCCTCATTTAAAAATATATATTTTACGGAAATGTACAGCTATATATATTTAAATATGAAAAAAAAATCAAACTAATTAATGCAATTTATAATGACGTTTAAATAATGCATTAGCGGCCTGGTAGGTACATACCACATTGTTCTTTTACTATAATTTAAACTTATTAAATTTACTTGACAAGGGGTAACAAAACAATAGTCACAGACTGTGGACTATAGAAATAACAGAATTAATTGTATGTGTACAAACACGACTCGGCTTAAATATGCAGCTTAGAATGTTGGCTGTAAATATGTAAACAGCACTGTCCTATATGTGTGCTTATTATGATGACGTTAGAGCCCGGACACTGAAGAGAAGCGGCAGCGAGAACACTTACTGCAGATGAACCAGATTCTTGCCAAGCAGGTCACCGAGATGAGCAAAATCATAGCTGGTGAGACCTTACGTTCGTTGATTGGTCACAGTGTTTCACGTTTTGTTCACATTTTATACTTACCCTTTGATGTGATTGTCAGTGTTGCCACTATAACCAGTGTTCAAAACTATTAAGATGATACAATAGATTGTTAAAAATTAAACTGATTAAAGTTGCGTGAGCGTGAGCTAGGAATTGTTGATAGACTAAATTTTGACTTAATAATAAATACATATGTATCTTGTAAGCATATAATTTACTCTTAATTCAATGGGTATAGTAAAATAGCTAATAATGTAACTTCGTCACCAAAGTTATATTGACAATCAAGTGTATGTATATATCTTTATCATTTAAACGATACATAACCATTATGGGTGAATACAGAAGATCACTCTTTATTATAATATTTAAATTTGTTATTTATTTTAAATATTAGTATTAATTTCTCTGTTATTTAAAATCAATTTATTGTATCATCCAAATTGCTATTATAATTAACTAAATATATTTAGTGTTTGATTATTTTCAGTTAACGTAATTAGCTATAATATCAATGTCGTGATGCACTTTGTCTTGTTGTTTGATTTTCTTTGTTGGTAGATTTGCTTTATTTTCCATAACAATAATTACTTTCTCCACTTAAAGTATTCTGTTTCAAAAATTTTGATATATTTCATAAATACTATACTGGGAATATACATCCGTAAATATATAAATTGATCGTTATGACAATCATAATGATAATAAATGTCAACGTAAATATAATAAACTGCTTAAAGAAGTAATCATTAATTAAATGTAAATATTTGTAGATTAAGTTATAAAAAGAAATAAGTCGGTTCTACCGTTGATTGATCGACCTTTAATATTGAATGTTTTTCAAATAGCAGTTCTAATGACAGATATGTGACTAAATGCTAAGTGTGACCACGCATGTAACATTATTGCTTGATGTTGTTTGTACAATTCAACAGGAACCAACACTGACCAAGGGCCGTCCAGCGTAAACAATTGATTTCATATACCACAGTTATATTTCATATACTACGTCTAAAGCACAAATTCACAACCTCAACCACTAATACTTCACCTATTGACATCCTTAGCAACATTTTAACTTACAATCAGACTGTTCCACATCTTAAAGTCAGTAATCGCTAAAATGGGTGGCCCTTAGAAGATTAGCTGTCCAGTATGTTGCAGCATGGTTTCGTTTTATTGCATTTTGTTGTGAGTAGTTTTTATGTTATTATTTTTTTTATTTAATATTTGGAGATTCATTGTATTAATAAAACAAGATTCAAATCTATTAAAGTGTTTGCTCCGAAACTTTTCGATGTTGTTGTTCCACAATAAATATTAGTGATATTAAATAATTTTCTGAGGAAAGTCGAAGACGTAAGGAAATTAAAAATTCATTTGTACAGATGACATCGATTTTATTAGAAAAGTAACTCAAAGTGGATTTTCATATCTTTAATAATTTCCCTCGATTAAAGTTATTTAAAATCTGCTATCGATATATATTGTTTATTATAGCCTCTTTTTGTTAAAAAGATACCGAGATTTTTTATTATATTACAATTATCATAATATTGTGAATCTCCTGCTTCCAAACCTAGTTATTATTATTTTCTTAATGTTTAAGTATTAACAAGATTTTGATTGTGTATGACTGTGTTTTATTATATATTTGATGTGTCTAGTATACATCTATAGTATAATTTTCTAATTTAGTTTACTGTTTCAACAGTGAAAGCGTTGGAAGAGCTGCCACTACATGACAAAAACGACGAAATGGACGATCGATCGCCTGATGTCGAGCTGCCTATATATCAACAAAGAGATAATTTCTTTACCTAAAATATGAAGAGATCCAAATTTAATCGATATTACAATTAACCTGTTTTTGACCTAGACCTTCTTTGGAGATATTATGAGGATATTAAGGGCATGACAACTATTATATATAACAGTAGATAAATATATACCTACAATTTATATCAATTATTATTATATTGTTATTTGTCTACTCATCTGGTGGCTTACTGATCTAGTTATATGACAATTAAAATATCAAACATCTTACTGCGAACTCTTTAATGGTAAATCGTTAACCTAATTTAAGAAGACAATGTAATCAAATTATGTGGGCTTTAATAAATTTTAAGCTATTAAAGTAGAATGTTCAATTATTAGTAGATATAACGAGTCTTCGAGTGTACTAAACTATTTTGAATTTTATAGTTATCTTATTGTAGATAAAGGTGTAGGAGATCTGTACTCGAATTATTATAAGTGCCATCGCTGTAAAATCTGAACAAACCAAAACTGATTGAAATATTGCTGCCAGAACTACTTCCGATTAGACGAACCCGAATAAACTAATGAAAATTTGAATTGCATTGGGCATAGGATATTCACATCAAGCTCCTAATTATGGAACCTGTAAGAACTTTCTATCGAATAATATTATATACTCGAAACAAACTTAATATATTGTCAAGCTAACGGATCACACTTACTTTACATTTGCATTAAAATGTAAATATAATCGTTTAAAAATGATTAAAATATATTTGAGAATTTGCGATTGTATTTAATATTTCTAAAAGTTTGGTTTGCTCGGATTTTCTGTAGTTATATAGATGCCGGCAAATAACTTCAAAACTTTTCAGTATCACGAGTTACTTTATAATTTTTTTAAACACAATTCCATTACCGTATAGGTCAAGGGGTACTGAAATAATTTTTAAGGTATTTGGCGACAATTACATATACTGCAATTATTACATGTAAAGTAATTAGGCATAGTTCCTGTTTCTGATTAGTTACATTTGAAAAAAGAACGAAATTAAGTGATGGAAAGAATTTTCTAGAACAGATGACTACTAATGAAATGAGATGAGACTAAATGCTTAGGATAAATTATTATTATCAGTAAATATTATATCAGGCTTTACAATTTTCATGTAAGAGATAAGAAGATCAACTGAATCCATTTTTTTTATTGTGTTTATAGTACAAACTACCCACGAATATAATTAATTATATTTATTCATTAAATATGAACTTATTATTTTATAGTAAAACAAATATGAATTAATTTATAGTTTCTTTAACAAATCTTAGTTCCACTTTTTTTCCTAATCTATAAATATGTTCAATTTTTTGTGACTGATATCTTAATCACTGTTAAAGTGTTAATTTTCATATTTTTTTTTATTTTGTCGTAATTACACTGACATTATAAAGAGCGTTTATTACATTGTAATATTTCAGAGGTTACATAAACTTTCAATAATTACACGAGTGTCTTTGTTTGGAATGTGATTTGCTTGGCACATATCCAGATTAATGTCATATCTGCTAACACGAGTGATGTAAGTACTGCTTAGAGTGTATCTCGTAGTAATTGGATATATTTTTTTTTAATATTTGCTCAATTTTGACAACATTCCTTCTGTAGTTGCTTTACATTTCATAGAAGTATATTGTAAAGTGTATTACTTGATATTATACAATATATAAAGTTGTTTTAGGCCTGTTTTATACGTAAAAATATACTTTCTTTCGCGTAAATAACTTAAAGTCTTCTGTGTAAAGGGCCTTGAATTGTTATTGTAGAATTAAGATACCTTATAGTGAATTGTATTTAGAGAATATTTAAGACGATGCCATGTTATTCAATTATGTCTTAAAAACTAATCCATCACTAGCAAAAGCACATTATTATAGGAAAATATTACAAAGTTAGTTATAGATAACGAAAACAAATGCGTTTTAGTATTATTTCGTTTTTTGTTTCATGTATTTTAGTGTATATATAATTATTATAATATTTTATCATTTCAATAAATTTTCTTTTATTAAATCCCGCTTAGTTTTTTTTATTTATATTTTGTTTTTATGTCATTATTTGTAAACATTTGTGTTAATTATAAAATTACTCTAAATATAAGAAACTTATGTAAACTTAAATTACCCTGCTCTATTTCATCGATTCCAATAAGATTATTAAAAAAAATATTAGAATTCTATTTAATTTCGTTATTCAAAATCCAAATAAAGGTCTAAAAGAAACTTATAATATCCATTGTTTATAAGGAGAAAGAAGATCTGTCCTACAAAAAATAATATCTTTTATATGACAGATTAAAATTATTAACTTTAGAAATTATGAAGCAATAATAAATAATCCAAAGGGCTTAAATGTATATTTTTAATTACCTTATTGAGACAAACAACTCTACAATGACAAATAATGGATGAAGACACAATTATATTAGTGTTTAAAGTGAGTCTTAATTTTTGAACTTTTGTCATTTTTTCAGTTTTTCTCTATATTCCCATTTTAATGCAACAACTATTCGAACTATGTGATATAAAATTATATCTATTATAATCCCTTCAAATATTATATTCGTTGATAATATATTTATAGAATATGCTAGAATTCATTATATCCTATTAAAGAGCTTTAAGTATTTATGTAATTTCTTGGTTATACCTAGAAATTAGATTACGATTGTAAGTTATTATCTAACTGCATAATACATATAATAAATTTATCGTTCCCAAGAAGTAGTTATACTAAAAATATAAATTCACACAATTTAGTAAACTGTACACACACTTTTCAGAAGAATAGGTATACGAATATATAAAAATGACAATAGAATCTAATTCATTGTAATCTCTATTATAAGAACCAATAACTAACTGTTTAATAATATAATGCAACATAGTACATTCTAGTTATATCTCGCGGCTCTGCGCGTTTGTAATACAGCCTATGTTACTTGCTGATTATATATTACAACTATCTATGTGAGAAAGAGTTTAAAAGTTAACATCATTAGTATTATATTACAAATTAACTAACATACAAAAATAAAACTTTCCTATTTATGTTAGTAGGTATAGGAAAGACCCTACGGTATGACTGCTAAATGAGTTTTCACTTAATTCTCCAATTATTCTATTTTAATTATAAAAATAATAATGAAAAATATACAAATAATACTATACATACACGTATCTAAAGAACTATTATATACCTACTATATATTATATATATCTAACTTAAACATATATAAGTAGATTTGTTACTACAATTCTTACAGTATCAATCATAACTTGCACATCCATGAAGAATATATAAAAAATATTTATTTCAAAACTTATTATTACTAGTTGAGTTTCTTGTTAGTTCTTCCGAATTATAGCACACTTAACTGAACAATAGGATTAGTAACATAGTGTTTTTACGAATTTTCCAATAAAATCTTTATACTTTCTAACTTGTCAATTAAAATATTCTTTAATAATAAATTGTACAGGTAATGTAGGTACTTATCATAATAAATACCTATATAGATATCAGCCCTGAATCTTCCGAATACCCATCAATAATCATAAATAAAATTTCAGGGCGATAACTTACTGTCTTATGAATTCGACTGTATCTGCCTACTTACTATTTAATTAGACTGACCAATTAATTATTTATTTGTTTAGTCGTACTAAGAGTAAATCGAAATTAAGAAGTGAGTAAGTCACATTTACAGAAAAAAATACACATCTACTTAATTTTTATCATTCTGTATTTGAAAATGTTACATCCATTACAATTTATGAATGGTTAAAAGAAAATTAAACTATTATAATGGACATTTTTATTTGATCTGTATTTGATGTATCATCTTTTTTTTACCGTTTTAGTATGATTGCTTACCTACCTAGTTTCAAGTGATTTTTTGATATTGAAAATACATGATCCAAATTTAACTAATATTTATAAGCTTTCTGTTTCTCTATTAGACTTTTATTTGTTTGAAGTCTATATAGATACTTGCAAGCTATAAATGTATGTAGTAGGCTGTGTGTATACTCACAAATAGCTCTATGGCTTAGCTTAGACCTTCGCTCAGAATACAATTGGGAGACTTAGCCTTAATGTGACTCGTGTAAATATATCTACCTACCTACAGGGAATTGTGCAATTTTGGTTAATATTATTCTACCCTTATACATTAAACCTTGTAATATTACCCACGGATATATTGTTCACTTAATAAAATAAATGAAATATGCTAATTTTAATTGTTATTATTTCATACTAGTCATAACTTGCGGCCTTTACCCTTATAGAAAAGCATCCTATAAGATTTAGTATTATATAGTCTACCTATGAATCAATCTTCGTTTAACCATAAGGAACAAACATCTAAATATTTTCACAAACTTTCACATTATAATATTAGAATGTTACCGTATTACGGACAGCTATTCTAGTATCTTCTAAATAAATTATTCAGTACTGGTTTAGACTGTGACGTCTGCATGCTCAGATAAAAAAAGTAGTCGTTGCTCATTCATCCAAATAATTCTACATGTACAAATTACAGAAACTAAGAAGTAGTATAAAATAAAAATAAATAAAAGTACTAACTTTTACAATAAAAATATTAGTAACGAATCAGAATAATTATAAAATAGAAGTGTCCAAAAATTTAATAGAGTATGTACTGATTACTGATCTTATTATTATTAATATTATAAACACGAAAGTTTGTGAGTATGGGTGGATGTTTGTTACTCTTTCACGCAAAAACTATTAAACGGATTTTGAAACTTTACAGTAATATAGTTTATACATAAGAATAACATATAGGGTTAAGCGGGTGAAACTATGGGCACATCTAGTATTGTATACATGAAAGTTTGTGAGTATTGTGTGATTGATTGTTTGTTACCTACTGTTTCACGCAAAAACGACTGAATCATCATTAATGAATCATTGAATCATTTTTAATGAAACTTTACAAAATATACCATCAGAATAAACACGGATTATATAAATTTCACTAGCACTAGCTAGTATTTTATGTCAGTTTATATCAATAAGTAGTTAAGACGACAACTTGCATTTGTTTTTAGGGTAAAATTAGACCATTGATAGAATTCATTTGAATTTTTTAATAGATACTGAGCCGAGTTGGCTCTTTTAATAGAAAGAATGTAAATCTCATGTCAAAATTTGCAAATACAGATTAAAAATTAACTACGTGCATAAAATAAAAGTGCACCAATGTCTCTATTACTTTTACCATTTCAAACTTTTATATAATATCTGTTAATTAAAAATTCTCTGTCTACATACCAGTGATTGGTTGCAAGGCAACTTATATCAAACCCCAATCTTTTAAATTTGACAAAACTTTTCCATTATTATAGTCGCATATATTTTATCTACGATTGTTGGAAATATTATTTTAAGTTTTTGGGCAATGATAAATAATGGATGAAGGCACAATTGGAAGTAAGAATTAAACTCGGAACTTTCTTGTTATCTCGCAGCGCGCGTCCATTAACCCAATTAATGATGGAAATGACATAATTTCTTCATGTACCTACCTTGAATATCGGTTTTCCGATTTCTGTTATAGCGACGGTTTGTCTCCATTGTTGTGAATAAGGACTATAATATTCAATTAACAATGTAAAAAGTACTATTTCTATTGTGTTTTTTTTTATTTAATTACCAAAATGGTACCTACATGCTGTATCAGCAACGCAAATTTTCATTTAGTGATGTACACAAAAATAAAGACGGGCACACTTTTGTCATAATTAAGAGATTATATTTTTTATACTACTTATATATCAAATAGTATACAAATATAATGTCAAAAGAACAAGCTATTCCAGATTTTTTTGAGATACTGCCTTTAATCGTGAAAAGACAATAAATATTATCTTTTTACAGATTCATAAATATAATATGAAATAAATAAAGAACGCAGATAAATATTAAAATGATGAGTTTTTGGAAATTTTTGGGTGATAATAATTTTCCTACTATATTTGCAAATTGCCACTACGGCCCAGGTTAAATGAGGCTAAATGAGGAGAATAGAGTCCATAGTACATTATATTACAAGTTCCCACTTGGAAGTCGTCTTATATCGTATCGTATCGAGATTGTGAATGCAACCGCGCAATATTCTGTACATCGTTAGGTTATCAGGCGGATCAGGCGCGCCTCCGGCACCAAGCTATCCATTAATGGCAGCTGAATCGACTCGCACCCCTGCTTTGTTCGTGCTAGGCCTTTTGATTGATTGCAGTCTTTCTTCAAACTATAGTTATAATCTATTTGTACCATGATAGCGATAAGTAAGTAAGTTTTGCTTGAAACAAGTTAGGGATAATTTTAGGCAATAAATAGTTACACTGATAATCTAATTTAATAACAGGTACAATCTTGTTTGTTTGGTGTCACCAAACAGTAAAAAACAAAGTCTTTTGTAGAGTATTATTGCGTAGGTGTGTTTTTTAGTATATGAAAATGGTATTGTGCATCATTATGTATACCTATATTTTTTTCTGCTGCATTTCTAATAAAGCGTCCTGCCCAGAAAAGCAGCTTTACCTATTTTCAATACATCCTGGAGTTCACTAAAATATATAATCAAAATAGCTCCAACAAAGAGTTTCGGAGGATTTAGGTAGCAAACACACGCACAGAAGAATTATATACGAGTATATACTAGCTGACTAGGCAAACGTTGTTTTGCCATATAAATTATTTTTGTATAGGTGGCCCTTGTCACTTAGGGGTATAAAATACGAGCTCTTAGGCTTACCAAATGTATACCAAAAATTTCATAACAATCAATCAAGCCGTTTCGTATGGGTTGATAACAAACACTGTGGCTTGATTTTTTTATATATTAGGGGATGTTATATTAAGCATAAGGATAATACCAAATCCTATCTGTGGTCACAAATTGCTACTTCGTATTGTAACAGAATTTTATTATCGAAATACCTAACGTGATTCACATATTTACAATAAGGGTTTCTTTGTCCATTGTGATCATTTGTATCGGGTACCGCAACGATTGTCATTCAGTGCGCGCGCGCATACGTGGATGCAGTTCAATGCCGCTGGCTCTTCCTTCCGTTATGTTGAGATAGCTGCGCTCTTCGACCGGTCTTAAATGTCAATGTATCTAGAATAATAGACTTTGAGATCAAATTACTTTGGTGTTTATCTATTGTCAACAGCTATCATAGTATAATATATAATATTAATGATAACTGATCTCTGGCATATCGAATGGTTTTTCTATTTTAGTTACTGGTTGCTAAGGCTAATTATAGAATTCTTTGTTTTTTTTTATAGAAGTATTTGATGGGCATTCAGTTACAATGATCTAATAAGTAAGTGTATTCAGATCATATATAGTTGATAAATCAGCAGGATAAACTCAGAAATGGTAATGGGACAGCAGATGGCAGATGTTAGAAAAAAGGCCTATTAATGTTCAGTACGGCTAAAATAGTAAGTGATCATATCAGGATGATAGTCTATGATCATCATGAAGTATTAGAGATATTTCTATAATTAACATAGTTTTAAATGGCGATTAGTGATACATAGTGTAGGGAGAGTAACATTACTGTAAATCAAAAGAAATCGTAAAGTTGGATGTCCTACGTATATAACTTTTGGCACACGGCTATAACTATTATAGTTATACTATTAGTGTTATCCAATTTTGGGTTGAAAATGATAATAAGTATGTATAATATTTGCAATAGTAAAAAATATATAATTATAGGGTTTAGTACGTTAGGTGAAGTTTGAGCCCAGAAATGTACCATTATTCGAGATTAATACTATTAATAAAACATAAAAATTCTGTCACATTATATTAATTTTATATGATATAGCATAAGTTCAATATGTATGGTATGTTCCAAACATATTAATAAAGTACTTGGACGAATCTTATGTAGAACACTGAATGCAGCGTCGATTCATAATCAACTATTTGGCATTTACAATGCTGTATATTATTATCTGTCTTATTATATTGTTATAATGCCATTTAAAATAGTTTGTAATATTATCGAAAGGATGGGAATTATATTGTTAGTTGAAGTGATGATTGGGCTAAATCCTATAGCAACAGGGGTTGTTAGAGAATAGGCACACTCATAGAAGGTAAACTATGAAAGCCATTTTAAAATTTGTAGATAATAAAACTTTATTCTATTCGTGATATTTTATATTCATTGTATGGTTACTTTTCGAAATATTACTCCAATAGTTGAGCCCGCGACTTCGTATTAGAGCGCCGGAGTATTCGGTCACAACAGTAATAACTTTTTTTTTGTGTAAATGAATGAATTAACACAATTACAAAAATTGTTTCGCGTGCACAAACGGATATACAAATAGATTTGTGTATTGGGACAGTTAAATATTTTTAACTCTGGATGGTAAAAGATGAGTATTATAAGTTTAACGTCTCTGTACGTCTTTCTGTGGTATACTAGCTCTAACAAGTAGATAGAGTTCAATGAGGTATGTTCCTTGATCGAGATAATTTTTAGTTAAAATTTCTTAGTTTTTTTATTAAGGTGTTATAAGTTAGTTTTTTTTATTATAATCCTCGTTGCAAATAAAAGGTTTGAAAAAATAAAAGGTTAATTTGGTAAATTCAAAATCTGGAACAACTATAAACATAGTAATTACATTTTTCGGCCGCGTTCGCTGACTACTGTATCAGATTTGTTTGTCGAACATTCGTAAACGAAGAATAATATCCTGTTACAATGTTGTCAAACAAGCTAAAAATAAAAGCAAAATGGCAGGTATGCAGTTATTTTATTGATTAATTAATCGCCCGAAGTGGCTGAACTGATTTAAGTATATATAATAATCATTATATATATATTAATATTGCAATATGTATAAGAAAGCATCTCTCGTTTGTTTATTAGCTTATTAACTACTAAACAAGTGAACGAAATTTAATGAAAATTTGAATCATCAGATGTTTTATCAAAATTGTACCACGAAGACATCATAGGTTATCCTTTATCTAAAAAAGTCGCAGGTATTTGGTAGTATAGTATAGCCAATTATTTTCACATTTCACTAGCCATTCGCCCCGGTGTCGCCCGGGTGTACATGTATTATATATGTACCTTCCTCTAGAATACCTCCATCTATAAAAAAAAACTGCTTAAAAATCCGTTGCGTAGTTTTAAAGATTTAAGCTTAGGGCTGGGCATATAGCAACAGCGACTTTGTTTTATACTATGTTATGACGATGATTATCGATCTGACGCGAGTGTTTAGTATATATATAAAAATCTATATGCATTTATTATATATCTAAGCAAACTTTCTGGAAGAAATAATAAAGACTATAGTAAAAACTGTATTAAAATCCGTTGCGTGATTTATAAGGAAGACAACCAACAAACTATATAACCAAACACAAGAGAACAATAACGACTTCACTTTATACTTTTTAGAGATAATATTCTCCTAGTGTCATAGTCTATTAGAGTACACAGTAGATTACACAGCATAGAGGCATGACACCCTTGCTGCCTGGAATGGCAATGCATCAGGGATAGGTACTATTGGGTGCCGGTTACCACTTCATATTAGGTGGTCCATCAGCTTGCTAATCATCCTATTACATAATAAAAAATTGTTTGCAGTTGTAACCAATAATTTTTTTAAAAAGATACCAACACTTTTTGTTACTTCCTCAAACCGATATCAGCTAATTGCGATTGTGAGATACAATACAGGAATTGATACATATCTATTTTGTTTTGTTTATTAATGTTAGTAGAATTGTGAATCTGGCTTCACAAATAGTGTACAGTAGATAGACGCTTGTAAATGATGATAAGGTCCCTAAGCTGGTCGTGGTGGATTAACTACGACAGTTTCTAGGTGTGGATCCCGTAGAAGTACACCTAATGGTATTTTACCAGTAATGGGTTAATAGCATACTATTATGTGATATGCTTTACCATAATATGGTATTGACAATATTACTTATAGTTTCCTCACATCTCTATTTGGTACTTGGACGTAATTGTTAGTATGTTATTAATTAGTCACATATTTATGTCTTAATTATTTAAAAAAAAGGCAATTTCAATTAATACCAAAGTATATAATTTAATTTAATGCAACCAATTTTAATGAAGTGCCCAAAAAATGTAACCAAATATGAAGCCCACTGTTTTTTTTAAATGTAATTGGAGTTGTAAATAACTGACGGCTATTGATAATTGGCAACCCTTACCTATAGATGACGAGTAGATACGGATTGTAAGTCATCGTGTGAGGCTATTTTTTTTTTCAGACTTCTCTAATGCTGTTGGCCGTAGCTGGCCTTTACAGCTTCACCGGACATTAGGGGCGAGTGCAGATGGCACTCCAAACCCGCGGAAGGACTTATGGAGCGGCTGAAGGCCAACTCCTGCCTGACGGATACGACTTTAGTCTGAGGGCACTACTAGGGGTTCGAACCTCGGCTCAGGCCGTCGTAATTTCGATCCCCGTTTGAATTGGACGGGGGATCGATCGGAGAGGCGCCCGGGCGCGCCGGTGTGGAGCGCCCAGGCGCGCGCAGGCGCCCGGTTGAATGCGCGATATTGTGTGTCTGTGTGTGCTTGTGTGTGGTACTAGGTAACATTTATGTATTGTTTTCTGGAATAGCTCCAAAAGACTATGATGTTTTTCTAATCTATGCTTCCTTAGCCTGTAATTTCAAAGTTCACCTTTTAACTTAATTACAGATTACAAAGAAGTTGTATTGTGGCTGTCTGAAACGGGTGAGACAGAGGCACCTAGGCAGGCTACTTTGTACAAAGTCTACCTGTGGTAATCAGTTGGAAAGACAGTTTATGTAGGGTACGCCTGTAAATATAAAAATATAAGGAATAAAATAAGGGTGAACTGGAAACGGAGGTTTTAAGGTGCACATAAATTTTATTACGCGTAATAAGGCATTTGGGCCGTTTTCCAGGCATACTGGTTTTCAGACCGTTGCTTGACCTTACCAACATTGATCTCATTGTTTGACACATTGCGCTTTTGGGGATTGTCGATGGAGCGCCGCTCATCTATATACAGGCTGATGCTATGTTTTATCAATTAAGATGACGTATAATATATTTGAATATTTTTTATTAAAATTTACAGAGCTGTAAATTATATTCGGTTATTAAACATCGGCTACAATCTTCTTTCTTAACATTTTTTCAAATAAGCCAATAAAAATATTTCATTAAAATTAAGTACTTATATTTACGAAGGTATAACTTATTAAAATATAAATGAACTCATATTTTAAACCATGCAACTCATATTAGTGTTTGCTAAAATATATTACAGTATAAAAGAGCGGACACACAGTCTGACGACGTAAGTTTTTTATCTGTTTGAGATCCTAAAAAGGAAACAATGAGTACATTTAAATTTCAATATAAACAAAATTTTTCCTTAACAAAAACAACAGGAAAAAATTAACATGTACGATGTGATCCCGACACACCCTGTGCAACGTGTGGCCGGGTGCGCGTGCGCATATAACTGCGGTGCAGCGACCGACGCCGCACAATCGCACGCACGCCGCTACACCGCAACCGTGAGTACCGCATACTACAACACGCAACACAATAACACGCACATGTGAATATAACGGCCAATGTGATAATATTAGTGTTCGAAATTTGAAAAATAATAAGAAAGTGCTAAACGTATAATAGTAAACAATAAAAAAAAGCGGAGAGAGGTAAATACCTTTATTTACAATAAAATTATTCGTGTTAAGACCAAGTTAACAATATAAACAATAAAATATAAAGTTTTGTTACAATAATAATTATTGTGTGTATTGTTAGAAGTGGAATTGAAAAGTAAGTTAAACTATTATGGTAGATACTACATAAAATACGAGTACCTACATATTCATTTAGTGCAATAGGTTTACTTAACAATATTCATTGCTTAAATAAATCGTTTGATTCTATTTATTTGTTGTTTACAAATGTTGAAAGTTTCAATTAATTAGGACACACAATGGTTTCTATAGTTAGAATAAAATAAATAAAATGGGCCGTACATGTATGTTATTTACAACATTTTATTGTATGATTTTGGCAATAATCACCAAATTTATTTCTACAATCGGGAATATTTAATACAAACACACATAAATGTTACATCAACAAATTTCTGCAGTTGTTGAAGAATATTAATTAAGAAATACATGAAGGCCTCGGTGGTCCAGGGGTTTAGCACACCGCTTTAATTCCGATGGTAGCGAGTTTGATTCCTAGCACGGTACAAACATTTGTATATACATATAAGTATGATCATTTATATCGGTCTGGGTGTTTTTTATGCATATTATGTATGTATTTGTAAAAATTTAAGTATTCATATCAGTTGTCTAGTATCCATAACATTATTATTACTAATACTCTTCGACAACTGGAGAAGCTTGTTAATGCAACTTTTTCTAAACAACAACTTAGATAAATATATAAATTAAACGAATATATATGGTGTATTAATAAGGATTGACTTCGAAGTAGGTACATTAAGTGCCGATAAACATTGAAGGTTCATTGAGTCATGGAGAGGGCAAATAACATTTGGTCGTAGTCGATTTTCATGGTGTATTCTGACAGTAGGTACCAACGTGATAGGGTAATGCATTAACTTACTATTGTAACAGAATTCCATTTCGTTATCTTCCGATCTGACATGGTCATGTTTAATGTTATAACTTAATATAGAATTAGGGGTACACATGTGTACTCTTTATTTATATTATACAGAATAAGTGATAGTTACCATTTATACATGGATCAGGAAGGCTTTCTATAAGCCATTGATTATAATAATATTATAAATAGGAAAGTATGTCTTTCTGACTATCCACCTCGAACTACTTTACGACTAAACTACAGTATAAAAAAAATACGTGTTTGTTTTGTTAAATTATAAATTAAACAAAATAATATGAAACCATTAATTAAATGTGACGTGAACAAATTGGATTGCGGGACAGACTTGAGCTATCTTTTATCTAAAGAAAGTGCACAAACTAGTGTGTAGTAAGTAGTGCACTAGTATTTATTAAATATTAAAAATTAATATTACATTTTTATTTACCTACTGGCCTGATTCAACGAAAGATTACTATCGATTAATTGTTGGTGATAAATCAAATTCATTAGGTAATTATTTATATCGTCCCCAATATTTATTACCATTGGCAGATTTATAAGACTAATCCGTATTTTATTGAATGAATCATTATTTTGTTTAATTTTATTGACTACTGTATTAGTATTATTCCCTTATAATTAGTATGCATGACACACCACAAAGGTTTGTTGCGAGTAGAACTGACTACAATTAAAACAGGCTTATCAGTTATTATAGGGCGTTTGATCGCTGATAAGGAAAATAATAGGAATTAATGAAAATAATACTTATCTATGTAGTCTACTCTACCTTTTTATCTCAACTAGCATGAGCGGCATCGCTTATTTTGTCAGTTGGTAAATCCTGGCTTAGAGAAGTCAAAGAGAAGATATAACGAGATTGTTTGATATTTTTTGTATTTATTTCTCACAAAGTCTATAGAGCTACTAGCGGCTAAAGAAAATTGTAATATTTTTTTTAAACTGTCCTTGTTTTTAACTTGTATGTTAATCCCTAATAAAGTAGCCATCTATAGGTGAATATTTTGAGATCACTCTACACAAAAATTTTTTTATACCGTTAATTCAGGTATAATATATACCTACCTTTTTATAAGTAATGTTTTTATAACATAAAATTAATAGGATTTAACAATTTTATACTGATATACTTATATATTGCTGAGTGCAGGATTCTAATTATGAACATTTAGGTGCTTAATGTTCTAAAGTTTGTGTTAAATTTTACTTGTTTGCTTTAAACTTGAACTCGTATTCATGTGAAAGTGTTTATATATTCAAATTGTTTGTAATCTTATTAACTTTCAAGATCTAATGCGATTTCCATAACCAGCTGAACTTGAATGTAGTGTTTGTTTACGTTTGAACCGACGTTAAAAGGAGGATGCTTTATTGAGAACATGGTTATGTTGGTCGTTTTTTGTGCATATTATACTCTCTCTATCACTGCAATTCTAAAACGTATTGGATGATATTTTTAATGAACCATTATTTCTCACGCGTATTTAAAAAAAAGTAATAAATCTTGTGCTTACTACATATTTTAATATTTTTTATATTAGACTGGATAATTTCAGAGATATTATTCCTGTATTATTAGTGTCTTTAAGTTGAAGTTTTTAATAATACTTTCTTAACCGACGGTTACGTAATAAAATACGTTGCTTTCTAAATATAATAGTTCTGACTATGCGCAAATAGTCAGGACAAACGATTTTATAAGTATAGATTTGTTATTGGGGCATATGCAATCGGTAGACATAGGGTTTCACTTTCGGGCGCTGACCTTAGCACAGACCGCAGTTGGTGATGGTGAAGTCACTTCACCATCGTGTTAGTATTCAACAAACGTCTCTATGGTGAACGCTGCCAGTACCGTGTCTTGTAGAGCGAGACGTGTAAAAGTTCAGGATAGTATTAAGAATATAAGAATATGTATTTTTATGTTTAAATATATGACACATAGTCACATGATAATATACAAATATCTATATATTAAATATAATAAAAACATACTTATGAATAGTAATAATGTAAAGTATAGTTTTTAACATTTCTGCCTAGTTCTTTGTATATATAGTAGGCTTGACACGCCTATCTCAGAAACGGCGAAGTGATATGAATGTAGTTTTCACTAATGTAGCAAACTTTCCGTAATATGTAGTGTTTGTACAATGCTATTCACTTTTACAAAAAAAAAATATTACGAATATATCAAGTATGAAGTCGCAAGTAACGCCGGTCGTATATATCTTAGATAGATGGGGTAGTCAAAATTTTAATAGGAATGTAAAGTTGCTTAAACATTTTATCCTACTTAGTACCTGCAATATTTCTAAAGATTAGTGATAGGCCTAATGTTCACAGCAATATTAATATTATCTATTTATTATTAGACGGGACCAATGTTTTATATATGTACCCGTATCTTACATCCAAAAATAAAAAAAATAGGTATGTATATGTAGGTAATAGTATTTAAAAAGAATTAAATACTATTTCCTACATATATATACTTACATAGTCAAGATATTGCATTTCTTTTAACAGTTCTAGTCTCAAAGCCAACACTGGCTTGTTTGCTATGTAACAGTGATTTGTAAGCGATGCGTGTATCGTCACATGTCGATTAGGTTCAGATGGTATTGACATTTGTCGTTACCGAGTTTGTAGTTATTATTTTGTTACAGTAGTAGTACCTTGTAAATCATACATAATAATACGTTATCATTATCTGAATAATATCTCTTAGATTTGGTTATGTACTATGCATAGAATGGCAAACAATCGGACGGCTTGCTTGATAGTTAGCGTTAAGTACATATATGAATAGCATTATATTGGGTACTCATGTATTCCTATTCCTTCGATTGCACAGATTCTGTGTTTCGATTATAATGAAACACAGCTTATAAAGTAAGCTGCTTGGTGTCTGAAATACAAGAGATGGAGGTATCCAAAGAAGACGACGGCCGACGAAGAGCTCTTGTTTAAATTTAAAATTCTTGTGTCTAACAATACCAATTTTCATATATATTTATTTTGTTTTAGTAAATCTAATAATACTTCACCGTTTTGCCTAGATATTATATTGGGAGAATTGTTTTATCTAGTTATGCGCTTCATACTAAACAATGTGACTCTTCAACAAAGTTTCGATACAATATATTCGTTCGTTTATTACATCTTTATCTGATCGCTGGAGGCATGATTATAGTACATCTTAGAGTATATCTAAGTTGGATAACGTTTTCATGTTTATTAGAAATACGCTCAGTAGGTTTCATTAAGTTAGCGAGATTTTCTTTTGTTTACTAGGATTACGTAGATTGAGTCACAGACATTTAGCCGCTAGTCTTACCTTATTATAAACTTATAAGCTAATGATTTTAATCGGCATAAAGGCACATATTGTAGACGATTGTATGGTCTTAGTTACTATATTACCCTCGATGGTCTAGCGGTTTAGCACACCGCTTTACTTCCGATGGTCGCGGGATCGATTCCTCGCACGGCACAGACATTCATGAGTATATGTATAATATAACAGTTTGTATCGGTCTGGGTATTTTAGATGTGTAATATGTATATATTTACGAAAAAAAAAGTATATATGTATTTGTATCAGTTATCTGGTACCCATAACACAAGCTTTAGCTAGCCTAACTTGGGTCTAGATGGCGCTGTGTGAATTGTCATAGATTATTATTATGTGTATTAATGTATTATTCATTCACATGTTTAATAATTTAAAATTTATTTTAGCAAAGCCTTACTTTCTTTTCTTACCTAGTAGGTACTTATTGTTGTATTTTTACTGTATTTTTTGTAAATAAAAAAATGTAAAGTGAGATATGTATTGAATTTATTTCTGCGTATCAGAAATATTAAAAACGTAGATTTAGACAAATGTTACATATATTACAGATTTACATTTATTACATTTGACGACAGTAAACTAAAAATTGTACCTATTCGCAATATTTAGTATATCTTTAGTTGTATAAATCGGTATATTTGGAAATTCTCAATAAGCTGACGTTAAGAAACACCGATTAATGATTTTCATAAAATTGGATATCCCTCGGTTTTTCATAAGGCAATAGAGCTGTGTTTTATGACACTAACGAGCACTTGGGGATTCGGCGTTTACCCTCAAGCCTTTGGCACTTTATGGCTTCTAAGTAATTGAGCTGTTTGTCGCGAGACGAACACCAGTAGAAAATTCCAATGACTGAGTGTTTTGCGTTTTTTATATAAAATATTACATTGTTATTGTGCAGACGCAATAAAAAATGATAAATGAAAAACAAAATAATTAAACATAAATAAAAATGATTCAAGGAATTTTTATATAATAAATAATGCGATGCGTTAATAAACATGTTAGAGACAGGTTTGTAATTCTATCCTTCTACGAATATAGGTATATATATATGCTTTGATACTGAACTGCGTCTATCTATATCACAAAGATTTTGTATGAAGGTATATTTATTTATATAACTTCAATGCACAAAATATCAAGGTAAGTACATATGGCGGACTTAACGCCTTGCAGCATTTTGTACCAATCAACCACAGGTCAATATTACATACCGCCTACAATTATATACATAAACGATTCAATATTATTATATCTATACCAGTTTGTCTCTTAATTTTTAATTTCCCGTCACAACTTTTAGTGTAAAACAAACTCCGCTTTCAATGAGTTGGATTTTGATTTGCGATAATTTGAATTGCTGATTTACTTTCAACGCGCTTCTGCAGATGTTCAACCGGTCTCTGTCGTCCTTTTAAGAATAAAATTATTAGAATTTTACTAGTGTATCAATAAGATGCATTTAGTTTAAATTTTAAATACAAGTTTATGATTACGAGAAAACTTATTACAAAAATATATTAGTTTTTGTTACAATATTTTATTAATAGTTAATGTACAATCATACATTATTTACTATTATAGTATAAAACTTCATGTTAGTAGAAATTCCACAGATTTTGTTCTAGTGACTTCAAGAAGGTCAATTGTGTCACTGCTTTTTCTTGTCTATATTGAGGCCATATCATTTCTTTTTCTACTACATGTATTACTATGTAAACAAACTACATACTAATTCGTTATTTCTATCGGTTGCTGTGACCATACAAATGTTACTTTTCAACAAATATTAGCAAACCAGCTATTACTAACTTACGATTTCTCTCTATATATATATAGTATATAAAAATAATTAAACAGTTATATTTAACAAACAGGAACGGTGTGAAAGAGACAAGTAACTAAATTTGATGCTACAATGCCATTGTTATTGTTCTAATCTTACTGCGATTTGGAACAGATCTTATAATAGATTACTTTTAGTCTATCTATTGTTGTTGTGGACACAATGAAAGATGTGTCGGGCACCAGGTCAGGCGTGTTGTATGTATGTTGACAATGTTGACAGCTCGCAGTTCGACCCCGTTAGGGACGCCGTGTTCCGTTATAACTTGTCTCTCATGCATGTACTGTTTGGTATGAGTCTTTGTACTCTTCTGGATTTATTTGGTACGAACACTACTGTGTTGCACACCAAGAAGAAAACAAACTTGTAGGTAGCAGTTTGTTTTTTTTTTGGTGATATTTCAAGCAATAAATATGAGGAGGATTTTCACCAATTTGAATGGATGTCAATATTACTTATTTAACCGACTATGTTTATATTCATAGTGGATGTCTAAAGTTTGTAACGTAAATATGTATTAAGACGACATTTTTATGTTGTCTCCTGATATGAAAGTTTTCAAATAGTGTTTTCTTAAGTAACTAATGAACTATCAATAATCATTACATGAAACAATCTTAAGTATAAGTTGTGTCTTTAAGTATCCATCAAGACTAGCGATTTAGTTAAAATTTTGCAGTCTAGACACATTGAACATTCTGAAACATTATACCCGCGGGAGAGTTTTATCTTCCTCTTTAAACAGAACCACGTTTGTACATTCCGCCCAGAGGAATATAAATAATTTCCCTTCGCTTTATGTAGTACTTGATCTAATGAATTGCAGGTATTTATATTTTAATTATTAGCATACAATATTTATTATTAAAAAATATTAGAGTAACAAATTTACTGTCCAATATAAAGGAAGAACTATACAGTTGTGACCTATTAAGAAACGAGACGAAAAAAGTAGGAACTTATAAAAACGTAACGATGTAGTAATGAATTCCGGTTTAGATTAGTAACTAGTACGTACAGGTACTCCATTTGTCATTTCTTATAGAAGTCTAATAAATATAAATAAAATTCAAACATACATATATTATATTCCCAACTTAAGTTTAAATTATTTACTGTTAATAATGGCGTGCAGTTGGAAGAAAAAAATCTTGAGTTTCTTGCCAATTCTTCTCAATTTAATCTGTATACTGAACTGAACGGTAGGGAAAACATATTAATACAAAAAATATTACGTTGATAAGCGGCTAAAATGTCTTACATGAATAAATGATTTCTGATTTGATTTGATTAATGGTCCTACTGCTGGTAACGTACGTACTTACACAGGTTTTCCCCAGGAGTCACCAATTTCTGATCATTTTGACACATATCAAATCTTCCTCTACTAGTGCCCCACTAATTTTTGTATAGATGTTTCATTATTATCCGTAAAAAAAAGATATGAACAATGATTGATTATTTAATATAATATACTCAATTAAATTTTCTCTTTAATTTGTACCTACCTATATTTAATAAGATTGCTTTGTGTACATGACTCGGTGATATTGAATCTTAATTGTTGGCAAACAACGACTTGCCGAAGTTAAATTATAATTACCAAGTTTAATCAAATCATAATTGGAGAAATTAGTAAAGTCATAAATATGCAGCGCATTTCTAAGTTAAAATCTTTCCTCATTCGATCGTTCGCATTCTCTTTTGACTCTTTAATGACTCCTTATAGGCGAATATTAAAAATAATGGGAATAAAATATTAATTATATATCATCATTTTAGTCATTAATGTTTTAGTTGGAAGATGACTTTCATGAGACCTTGAAATTGTGGCAGATAATATCACTAAAGCTTTAGTACATTTTTTAATAAGTTACTCCACTTATAAATAGTTACAATTTTTATTTGAGTCGTAGAAGTATATTTAAGTAAAAAACTTCTTTTATATTGTTAGTTAGATAATAAATTCAAATTAGTCATCTCATTCTGTCTTCTGCAAAAGTTAGACTGATTTTATTATTCCATCTGACAAAAAAGGCAAAATTTCATCGTTAAGTTTGAAGCACATTCACATTTACACATTCTTATAAATAGAGTGCCGTGTGCCGAAGATTTACAGAGAAATAAAATTGGTAATAATTAGATCCTTTTGCATTTTTGCTTCAGATTTATTGTATATTTTTCAAAAAATCTTTATTAATTCATATAGATGCCCTACAGCTGCAGCTCAAAATAATAATAATAATAAGATTAATATTATATTTTCTTACTTCTTATTAAAAATAATAAAACTATAGACTAGGGAGTAATTTGACCAACATCGGCTGGAATCTCTGTTTATGGCGTGGATACTCCTTACGCAAGCAAGACATTTGTTACTGAACCCTCTCCAAGAGCACTGATAAGCTTATTTTACGGTAGCACAAAACTACCCAGGTATCTCTAATTGCGGGGTTTTAAGTGGTAGATAGTTTTTGCAACGGTTTTAGTTAGAAATCTTATTTTAGAAACATTGATGACAAGATATTTTATTTCGTTTGTTTTTTTCCATTCTTGCATTGGGTGTATAATACACTGTGTGTTTAGTTCTTAATGACATATTAATAATATTACAAATTTTTTTTATTATTCCATTACCTCACGATGAACAAATTTATACTATAAATAAATATAAAACTTAAGGTAAGCTACTAAAAAGATTTGAAATTTATTTATTATTCATTGCAGGTTCAAAATGCGAGCGTTACTTGCGACGTTGGCCGTCTTCCTTGCTGTTACAACTACAGTTCAATGTAAGTACAGTTTACTGAGCTAGACTTTGTATAAAGTCAATAGAGTGGGTCTTCAATCTTATTTTATTAGCCGAGTAATTTGCTTTGTAAGATATCTTTCAGTTAAAGGATGAGATAAGATAGCGAAATTAAGAGAGTAAGAGATATAGTATCTTAGTCCTGTATCATCTGTCATGGGCATCATGCGATATTCGTAGACTATTCATGTATAGAGGCGATGGTTACCACTTACCATCAAGTCGACATCAGCTTGTTTACCAGTCAAATTACATGAAAAATTATCTATTTGTCATAATGACATAAGAACAAACTTAAGTTATATGTACGTAGTAAAAACTAGTAAAATGCAATTACACAATACTCTATTAACTTGTGTTGTTTACTCTATTTTATGGTAAACTAAGTCACATTTATTCCGCAATGTAAATTGTATACACAAGGATTTACTTAATTACTGCCACTGTAATGTTTATTCAAAGATAAGTACATTTTCTTAATTAATTTTATCTTAAAACAGAATTTATATCATACTTAAGAATATTTTATTGATTAACACATAAATAAATATATCAAGTAAAGTTGCATATTCTATAAAATTAATTAACTTTTTATGACTTCCAATATTTTTATCATATGAATTTATATTATAGTATATATTATATAGCTATATTAAGTCGAAAGAAATAAATAGTTTTACTTACTTATTAATAGACAAAATTTTTGCTATTGTAACGATATTATACCGTATGTATTTCCAAACATCAAAACAATGTTAAATTATACTACAATGGTATATTACGATCAATAAGTCATTAATTCCTTTCTAGTTAGGTAAATATCGGAAGTGGCCAAGCCGATGATTAATTTCTTTAATTATCATAGAGTTTTAGTATTTCATGTAATAGATGTATATTGAGTTTAACTGTTAAAATTTTTCACATTTATTTCACTTTATGTACAGATTATACGGTAGTTATCATATTAATTATGCGTAGATTAATTATGTATATCCTAATTATACTACCTGATTATCTTCGTTTATACGATAGGTGATAGCATTGAGTTTGTTGTTGATGTTCATATGAAATGTCGTAACAACTCATTACAATAAGAAATCTATTGATAATAATAATAGTATTCCTAAATTATATGCAATGATCAAATTTAAGAAAAGTATAAATATATTTAAATTTATTGAATTTTAAATTGTCTACAGCGGATGGCAGAGCGCGTGTAGTATGCTACTTCAGTAACTGGGCGGTATACCGACCAGGTGTTGGTCGGTATGGTATTGACGATATTCCGGTTGATATGTGCACACATATCATATACTCATTCATTGGAGTCACTGAGAAGAGTAGTGAAGTGCTCATAATTGATCCTGAGGTAAGAATAATGGAAGTTCCTTAAGATTACGTTGGAGTATGTATCACTGTTGAAAACAATTGTCGTTTGAGGTAGTCTTACGATTATACATGTACCATGAGGCAGTTGGTTTATAATTGAAATATATGAAATAATATTCAATATAAAACAACATATAAGTAGTCGGTTTATTTTCAACTATCTATTTGTCAACTCCGACTTAATAAAAATGTATCAAACTAGAATTGGTATCAATAGAACTGGAAGCTCGTACAGGTCCTGGATATGTCATCTTACTATGATATGATATGGCATCATTGATCATATACTTTCAAGTACAACAGATAGTTTTAAAGTTTGGAGTACTCAAACAAACTAATATTTTATCTTTGCATATTAGTTTGTGTTAGCGATAAGACCGCCTCCTGCGCCTGCATCTTTCTTTAATCTATTGTTATATCTTTCAATGTGTCTACTTTTAATGTTATGGCAATAAAGCGTTATAAATAATTAAATAACACGTAATAAGATATGCACAGTCACTTTACTATTTTTTTAATACAGGATAATTTACGCAGCGCTATCTAGTCCCTAGAAATATTTCAATACAATTTTTTTGTAAATACATACCCAATGTGATTAGAAAATATTCAGATTAATATATTAATAATATCATACTCTCAAATATAAATGTTTGTTCCGTGTAAAGAAAGGAAAAGGAATTGAACTAGCGAACGTAAGGCGGCGTTCTATACCGCTACACCACCGAGACCGTCAATGGTAATAGTAGGGATGTTAGTATGATAACTATATATAAAAAATATCTATGTACGATTCCTGTTGAAGGCCACAATTTGCATTTTATTCATACGCTCTGAAAACACTATTGAAATATCTAGAATATCTGCTGGATTACGAATGCAGGTCTAAAAACTAGGACATCAAAACAATAACGCTCAGCTAATATTTGCATTCGTATGCATAGAGATAGTAGGGTAATATGTTTATCGAGGCTGCGATGTCAGTTGAGTATCTCGAATATTCGCCCTCATATAAATTTACTGTGACAAGTTTGATTAAATGTGCGTGTTACATTGTTGGAACGTTGTACCAGTCATGAGTGTGACATAATGAACTGACAACCGATTAATAGCTGAGGGCATCGTGGTCTACTGACACTACAGTTATTTGCTATATCCCCATATTTATAAGTAAATTGCTGACCCGTGTAACTTTGTCATGAGTTACAGAGCAACGACAAAACATGATGGCAATGAAACCTCTCATAATAGAATAAATTTCTCCGTTTTTGAAGGATTTCTCGTCGGTGCTCTGCTCTTATTGATGTAGCTTGATGTTATACTGTCTACAGTTGTCCTAGATAAATGAACTATCTGACAATAAAATAATTTATCAATTTACACTGATAGTTTCTGAGATCTGCACGTTCAACCAATCGAATAATAAAACAAATTCTTCAGATTTATAATATTACTATAAACAAGTTAAATTATGGATATTTAAAAAACTAATGATAATTATACAATTTCAAGACATGCATTTACATGACCGGTACCACTAGCGTCACATTATAACGTGATAACCGCTGTGGTATTAATGAATGCAGGCGCCGAACAAAAAAGAAATGGTTTGACTATAAAAATCAAGTTGTTAAATTAATCGTATTGCTATTTAAATAATGAGAATATTAGGTTGTATTTATATGTTGTCATTTGTGCAATTTTAAATATATTGAAAGTAAATACTTTCGCGCATTAACCATTGGACTAGGTAATATAAATAATAATATTTAAATATGTGATCTATAAATCTAGAAGAGAATTGTAGGTAATTGAAAATGCGTAGGTGATGTCTAAACATTTTTATTATTCTAGATAGGTACTATTATGAATTCATTATGATTTTAATGGACTCTATACTCAGGCTATCAGAAAAAGGAATTGGATATCATAAAAATTATTTCGGCTATTAAAATACGGGCACAGTCGTATATCAATGATATGCCTTATGCGTTGCCATTCCTGGTCACTAAGATATCATGTATATCAATCAAATCTGGACGCTTAGACATCCAATGTAATCTCACTGCCATATCTCAACTTTAGGCAGTTGCTTGGCGGCTGAAATAGGCACCAACGCATACGTCTACCTAGAAAGTCTACCTCGGTAAACAGAGCATTGAATATGTATAAATAAATTTACTTGCCTTGATAAATTAAAATCTATTTCGTTTCTTAGAAAAATATTGCAATATCAACTGCATACTTTTTCAATTTAAGTTAAGTTAAATTAAAAAATACAGTATGTCGGAGTAGTTAGGGATAGAGATTGTAGATGAAATCTATAAAGGATAACGTCCTGTACAAAGCACAATGTCCTAACTTATTGCTGAGATCAATGACCAGACTCCGCAGCTCATAGACGTAGACTACATTTCGAAAGGAAACTTTATTATAGATTTTTAAATTACATCCTGAAAAATACAGTAGACAGAGGTATTAGAGTATATCTACTTATTGGTCGAGCTTGTTTGTAATGTAATCTTTATTCTTAGTTCACCGGCGGGAACTAAGAATGGCTATAATCTGCTATATTTACACAAATTGTATGCAAATAAACATGCAATGCAGGGAGGGATAGTTAATAACATATATCTTTATGTTTGCAGCTGGATGTAGATAACAATGGTTTCCGTAATTTCACGTCCCTCCGTTCATCACATCCGAACGTGAAGTTTACGGTAGCAGTTGGAGGGTGGGCGGAAGGCGGTAAAAAATATTCACATATGGTCGGCCAGAAGAGCACAAGAATGGCATTCGTTAGAAGTGTTGTAGGTAAGTACTGCGTCAGGGATACTGAGTACTTAGTTTTTACATAATAATAATAATGACTCTTGTACAGTTTCACAAAATTATGACCGTTTTTATCTTCGCCTTCATTTTACGTAATAAAAAGAGTATAATTATGCACGTCACATAAATGGATATTTATCGTGATAATTTTATTTAATGCTCCCAATATTTATTAATATGTAAAAATGTGTAAAAATATTTTTATTTGTAATTAACCCAGCATCGTATTTTTATGTTCAAGTTTTATGTAAACCTGAATTAATCTATAAACAATAATAATATTGCAATATACAGTAACGTAGCAACTTTCATTCTCTTATCTCAATTACGTACACTTCTTCATTATTTTAATATGGATTATGAAATAGGGGTAACAAAGGCTGACTTCATTGTGGGGACACTCAGTGAATTATGCGGTCAAACATAATTTTTCCGCGTGTTGTCAGAAACAAAGAGGCGGAAAATGTACTAATGACGTGACAATAATATGTAACATATTTAGAACTTGTTTGAGTTTATTTATTATTAAAAAATAGTTACTTATGCTTTTAGTACAGTATCTACTAATACCCATAAAATAAAATATATATTCGTACAATAAACAAACTAAGTGGCGGTCATTTATAACACGTTAATACATATAACATATACATATAACTATATGTATTAGCGTAAAAAATAACAGCACATATATTTTTAAAATATGATGCCCGTAATACCGTAGTGCTATATAATTAATTTGAATAAAATAAAAACTTTATAAATTGAATAATGAAAAAATGTTTTAGTTAGATAAAAACCAATTACGTTGCGATATTAAGGAATCATTTACAATTCCCTTGTTCGATTTTGGCAAACAAGTCACATCTTACAAGCGAAACTGAACTGAATCTTAATGAACTTATTATCAACAGAATGGAAATAAGTACGATAATATGCTTTATTTATTGCAAATTTGAATTAATAATAACGAATTAAAAGTAGTAGGCGTTATAGGAGACGTTACATTAATCCTTCAAGTTTTTACTGGTCCTATAGTAGAGTTTTGAGATTTTCCTCCCTGTGAACTCAATATTGTTATAGAGGCTTGGTATTTATTCATATTATATGAATACATGAATACATGACCAAATTTCAATGATTCATTTACGATAGTAACAATTTATTGGTGTCTACTTAAAAATATGAATGAATCAGAGTTTAAGTTAGTTTTTTTTTTTCAATTTAATCGTAAGAATGTTTTATTATTTACTTCTATTTTTAAAAAGTTTGAATGGCTATATGTAATACCCACCTTTTATGTTTTGAGCTTTTAATAAACATTTACTTATATCTTGGCTTGGAAACAAGAATGTATAAACTCAACTTTACTACCACTTCTTGTCTACAAGAATTGAAAAAGATTGTAATATATGATTTTGTCTTTATTCTTTTAGTTTGTATAATAATTTGGACACTATGTACTTATTACATTTTCCAATGTTAATAAATACTTCAAAGGATAACAGTTTTTTTTATTTTTTAGGTACTTCAAATGACACTCTTAGTACCAATACAAACGGAAATAATATTATCAATACAAATAACGAAACATCAAATAGTCATAATATTTTTACACATATTTAATGCTACAATTAGGTAGAGAAGTATGTTGAGTAAATAATACTGGTATATTTTGAAGAATCCGCAGAGAATTTTTATTTTCATACACTGCCTATTTACTTTGCTTTAGCAAATAATTAACATATTTACTAGGTATTTCTATGATAATAGTGCCCAGGATAATTAATTGTGTTTTGTTAAACAGTACTTAATGAAAAATGTATGTGAATAATTGCATAGACATATTAAAATAAATATACCGTTGCGATTGTTATCCCAGATGGGTTAGTTAGAGGTATTGTCAACTGACAATGTTGTGTGGACCGCAACACTTGACGTCCTTACATTTCACTGATTAAAATATTCAATGTGGGCGAGCCTATTGTTAGCTCTCGGATTAATTTGTTTATATGTAATTTATTATTTTTAATTTATTTCTTTCCTTTTGAATTTGTATACTGAATTAGACTTGGAAAAACTGGTTGTTTATAAGCGGCAAAAATTTTCTACATGAATTTTGATTTGATATGATATTGTTATCTGTATTTCAGTACTGGAGAGCCAGTCAGATATATACATTTAAATATAAAATGTGATCGTTCGAATTTTTGAATAAACATTGCCACTTTTTTGACATTTAAAAAAGTGAATCCTGTGTTACTCTCGTTATCTAAGATTTACGTAGGTACCTATTCAATTAGGATACTTTTATTTTGTCCGTAATTTAAAACGATGTTTTCAATGTTGATTTTATTATAGCTGGGCTAAATATTTAAATAGGACAAGACCAGGTTATTCAAGTAAGTAGAATAGATGAAAAGGAAATCAATACCTGCTTTTTATATAAAGTAACCTAAATTTTTAAAATACTAAAAATGTAGGTTACTTTATAAAGTAAGCCGGACTAAATAGTGTGTAGGATTTACTTTGAAATTTGTGAATTACTGATTTAGATCCAGATAAGTTATAGAGATATGGAGAATAAACAATAAACATAATGTAATAAGTATAATTTAAAAATATTAAATAATATTAAAAAACTATATTAGGATAAATTCTTGTTTGTGAGTTAGCTTAAAATGAGTATTTACTATTATTAATAAAAAAACTGTATTTTTATACAGACTTCATCAAAAAATATGACTTCGATGGCCTCGACTTAGATTGGGAGTACCCTGGGGCAGCAGACCGTGGTGGTTCATTCTCAGACAAGGATCGGTTTCTGTACTTGGTACAAGAATTGAGAAGAGCCTTCATAAGGGTTGGTAAAGGCTGGGAGCTGACTGCTGCTGTACCACTCGCTAATTTCAGATTAATGGAAGGATACCATGTACCTGAACTTTGTCAGTAAGTATAAGTAATACTAATAATGGTAACTAAATGCAATATGAGATTGCGAATTATTAGAAATACATGATGTGGGATACATTTGATTTCATTATCATTCGTCTGCCGTCGTCTCTCAGATTAATAATATTTGAAAAGAATAGTATCGATATAAATTAGAGAATGGATACAGTTAATTGTTAATGAAGCGTTTTTTTTAATTAATTATAATTATTTTAAAAGCAATCGCTGTTGCATTATTTGAACAAACTATCGTGGAACAAATATAACATAATTCATTAACATCAAAAAAATACTCCGTGGAACTAGCAATTTTACTGTTATAACAAATTTGTTTGTAAACAATATTAAGTTGCTCACTGAACTTGTTCAATATTTACTTCAACTTTAATTTCAATTACATATATGTATTACTATTGTATAGCATTTGCATTCGATCATCTGAGTTTACTGTTTGAGTCTTTTTTATATTATCGTATACCTATCGTGCACGTATTCAGTATCTGTAGAAATATTCCTAAATAGTAATGTTATTCATTTATAGGGATTTGGATGCTATTCATGTGATGTCATATGATCTGCGTGGCAACTGGGCAGGTTTTGCAGATGTGCATTCTCCTCTATACAAACGTCCTCATGACCAGTGGGCTTACGAGAAACTCAATGTGGTAAGTCTCCTTATATACTTATTTTTTAAATTTCTTGTTTATATCATTAATACAGTTAATTGTCTGTTAAAAATCGAGCACATAAAGTCTCTGATTAACAATTATCTGCTGGATGTTAAAAATAAGTAACTACATTGAGTTGCATGTACCTAAGGTCCTATCTACTTATCACCACTATTACCCACGAATGGTAAGTGAGGCGATAAAAATTAAAAAATATCCCAATTTAAACGAGGAAAATGGCTTTAAATTGTCATGTACGTAGAATTGAGTGATAAATAAGTTTAAACAAAGCATTCGGTAGCATCGGATCATCTTCTCTTAAGAATTATTTGATAAATCTAAGGGTAAAATGATTTATATCCACATAGATGTGTTTCTAATTACATTATATGTTTGATAATGTAGTATAATTTGTAAAATGAATAGTACCACAGGTGTTATATCCATGAAGTGATATCCGTGGTGCTTCATTCATGCATATCTACATATATATAGGCGACGGTTACCACTTACCATCACGTAGGCTGATAGTTTCAACCAATGAAGTTACATAAAAAATATGTTAAATAACCTTTTTGCTCTTACAGAACGATGGTTTACAACTGTGGGAAGATAAAGGTTGTCCTACAAATAAATTGGTAGTTGGAATACCATTTTACGGTCGATCTTTCACTCTGTCCTCTGGAAATAATAATTACAACCTGGGAACATATATTAACAAAGAAGCAGGCGGTGGAGATCCAGCACCTTATACTAATGCCACTGGTTTTTGGGCTTATTACGAAGTAAGCGTTTTATCTAATATATAAAATTCTGGTGTCACAGGTTTCGTGTCCACTGCTCAAAAAAATTTTTTTCATTATTTCGACAATTTTTTTTTTTTTAGTATGTGGCTTTACAAAATACATACAACCCATAATTTTCAACCTTCAATCACCAACTCCTATTATTTAATAGTGATTTAATTTATATGCAAAAAAATGTGCATCGCTTTTTAAGCGTAAGCGTACAGTTGTAATGTTTATATTATAAACATTACAACTGTGCACACACACGCCTAAAACGCGCCTGATTGGAGTTTGTTTAAATTGTGTCTCCTTGAATAGACGCCAAAAAAAAAGTATAGGCTTTGTTTATACTCCACAAAGTATTTGTATAGAAGGGTAGCAAATATACAAGCCAGTAACAGTAAAAGAAGCAAAACGAGCAACTGAGAGTTATTTCTAATAGTTTAAAACTCATTATATTACCATATCTATATATATATATATTTTTTTTTTTGAGTATCTTGTTTGCTTTTAAATATTTTTCGATTAATTTAGATTTAATAGTAAATAACAAAAATATAGCACTTACATTTATCTTCATCTATATTTATGGCATTTATAATTCTGAATTATAGTTTCAACTTAAATGATTAAAAAGTTATTAGAGTAACATATTTTAATGTGAAACCCATAGTGCTCTCCCTGTAGAGTCAGGCAGATTAAAGTCGCTCTGTCTACTGAACTAATTTAAAATTTTTGCTTTCCTGCTTAATTATTTAATGAGTAACAGATTAAACGTGTCCCTAATGTCTGTTGCATTGTAGATATATATACAAGTAAGTACTTACAAAATAGGCAACTTCCTAAGTAACTACTAGGAATAATAATATAGGTTTAATGGGAAGGTCTCGCAAAATTGTTTTAAATAGATTCACGTGTATTTAATTCTTATATGACTCAAATGATAAACATTTATTAAAGCCTATGTAAGTATCGATAACTTAATTCTTTTTAGTTAATTAAAGTTTGTAATTTTTTTATATTTCAAGAAATATTTTAAAGTAGTAAACAAACAAATACTAAAAATGTATACAAAGATATATTATTGTGTTAGATATTCTCAATAGACAAAACGATACCTTTACCATTATAGTATCATCAAGTTCAAGGCGTCTGTTTGTAACTTGTTACTAAAAGAAGATATTATGACAATATGCTCGAACAACTTCTAATTGGCTGATTCCTGGATACTAAACATTGACGAAGGATGACAGCGGTACGGAACCTCGCTAGTATAATGATGGTCAATAAACGAATGGCGGTTATCTGAAACGAATGTGCTGGAAAGAGCTGCCAGTAATTATACCCATTAAAGCCTGCCTGTACAATATTGAAGTGTTTTGTTAAATTTCATCTAAATTGCTGAAAGATAAACTTGGATACGGTCTAAAATAATAGACCTTAATAACCATAATTTACCTGTTTATAGGAACGTTCAGTAGTATGATTTTTAATGCTTAAGTACACCGAATTAGCAATATTTAGGAATCGGAAAATATATTTATATCTAACATACTTAATTTTCATAAAATAGTTTCGATACGATCTATCTATTTAGATTAATTTCAAGAATATATACATACATATACTGATATTTTATGCGTACTTATTAAACTAAAAACTTATTAAAAATATATATGTGAAGGTAATAAAAATATATAGGACGCAATATTTAATTGAATATATTTATAGTGAAATTTTGTAGATACATATAAAGGTATTTTTTATTAATAACTTTTTTAGATTTGCACTGAAGTTGATAAAGATGAATCCGGCTGGACCAAGAAATGGGATGAACATGGAAAATGTCCTTATGCTTACAAGGGCACTCAATGGGTCGGTTATGAAGATACACGTAGTGTGGAAATCAAAATGAACTGGATCAAGGAAAAGGGCTACTTGGGAGCCATGACCTGGGCTATTGATATGGACGACTTCCAAGGTTTATGTGGTGAAAAGAATCCCTTAATAAAGCTGCTTCATAAGCATATGAGTTCATATACTGTGCCTCCTCCGCGTACAGGCAACACTACGCCTACAGTAAGTATGCATATGTAATTAATTAGTTTATGGAATGTTAGTAATATATGTTGACTTCAAAATGAATGTTTAGAAGAAATTGAAATGAAAGTTTAGTTTCTTGCCAGTTATATTGAACTAAATCTGATCAGAAAAGTTTAATAAGAATAATCATTCTTATGAGATTCTAATGAAATTTCGTACATAAAAATATACTTTTAATTTGATAATAATAATGACGGATGGATTAACCTTTTTATATGATGGGGCATAAGAAAGTTGCCCCAAATTACCCAAATTATCCCAAATTACCGTGATCGAAATACGAATCAAATATGTCAATCATATAAAGAAATGTACCTCACACTGCGTTAAGTAGATCGACAATAAATACAAACCTTCATCATATATTCATAAGAGTGATAAAATTCTTATAACTGTGAAAACATGTTTACTTTGGAAATTACATTTTACGTCATAACATAATAGAGATATATGGCGTAGAAACATCCAAAATTGTTGTGATGAGATGTAAGCAATATATCTTTCTTGTAAAAGGTAATTTACAGTTGTATTTTAAATACAGGTTTAAAAATACTTATACTTATATGTCAGAGAAATTACAGGGTATTAAGATATACATAATATAGTATAGCAATAGAATAGAATGTGAGAAATTAATTTTGTCACTGCTATGATGTTATTATTATTTTGCTATATATTTTTCAGTATTCTCCCTTTGGTGGGGTGATAGAATTGTCTTTAAAAAAGATACCTAATGAAATGTGACTTAATAGGAGAGCAGTCTTGATTGTATATTATTATTTTTAGCCGGATTGGGCAAAACCACCGTCGACACCATCAGACCCATCAGAAGGAGATCCTATACCCACTACTGCGAGACCTACAACAGCTGCCAAGCCAATTAGTACCACCGCCAAGCCGACTACAATCACTAAGCCGACTATTGCCGCTCAACCAACTACCGCTGTTGCATCAACTACTACCCAGGCACCAACAACTATTTCTACGACAGCATCTAGCACTGATGTGGATGCTGAATTGCCTGTGGTAATTTTATTTTAGTTGCTGGTATATTATACAAGTTTTTACCTCCGACTTTACAAATATAAAATAAATATTTGTACGTACGATTGGAATATGTTTATTAATTAGATGAAAAAGTAGTCAATAATACTAAATTATTTAGTTAATACAAATATATTACAGTTGTTTAAAGCGTGAAATTGTTAAGAGCTAGAAACAAGAACATTTCACATTTATATAAAATAACAGAGGTAGGGTATTGTTAGTAATGGAAACTAGTGGCTTAATTGCGGGAAGATTGCTAGAATAAAACAATGGTATTCCCTGTAAACTATTGCGGTACTCACTAATTAAAAATACTGACTAATTTAATGTGTGAGGTTTTTTTTTCAGTTCATTCAAATTAAATTATTTATTAACTTTTATTCATATTGTATATACATATGAATAAGGGCTATAAATAAATAAATTTTATAGAGAAAAAAAAATTGAAGTTAGGCCATGTGATTAAGACAAATAATATAGATATAAATTGCGTGATACTTAAACCTAATAATTATTTTAATAGGAGAACGAGATAGATTCTCCTGATGACGTTTGTACTTCTGAACAAGACTATGTTGCTGATAAGAAACACTGTGATAAGGTAATTATTGTTAACTGTTTCTACTTTTTTCTTAAAAATAATCCCAATATTCAGTTCATAAGAATTTCTAAACAAAGACTTTCATGTTTTGCTTTCAAGATGTAATGGTATTCTATAACTTGTTAGATATTACGCTATATATCTACATAAATTAGCCATTACTTGTAGCCGTAACTTAGTCCACGTGTATCCTAAACTAAAGAGGTCCCAGAGACATTAATTTGCGCCTAAATAGGTCACACTGATGACATTTTAAAGAGATTGAATTGAATTAAAGCATTTTAAAGATTGCTTAACCTCGTCTACTATTTACATATGTAATGCATTGAACAGATAAGAAATCAGATATAAAAATATATATTTTTTAATCTATTCCAGAGATACTAATAACAAATATTCAGACTTATACAATAAGGAAATATAGTTTAAATTCCTTTGCCTGACAAATAGGACAAGTATTTACATTTCGTGAAATTGGCCTAATTACACCATTGGACGCTTTAACTGTAGAGGTTTTTCTGTTTAAGATTCATTACGATATTTGATTTAAATAACGTTTTAGGTGACCTTAGGAGCAAGGGTCAATACATTAGAGATTTCCGTCCATTATTCCGTCTTATAAGGCAGTTTAAGAGTCACAACGGTGAAATTTTGTGGTAAAATTAACACCTTTATTTACACGATTTAGATTGCAATTGTATTAATGATCTCGTCATTGCTTAGTGATCTTACAACTTATATATTGGTTGTTGTAAGTTGTGAAGTCAAATCTGTCCAGAATAAACTATAATTAGTAATTGTCTCTAACTGATACTCTGCTGATAGAAATTCTGATAAAAATCCAAATGCTTCAGTAAAAGGGCAGTAAGCTTTTTTCTTGCTTCATAAAAACATAGAAGAATTTGTATGTAAACAACAATTACCTCATTCAACACGACACGCATGGTGACTGTCACAGTTAATCATGCTATTGACTACCCTATTTGGGATAACTTTCGTGAAGATGTATAATGATCATAATAATCCTGGATAATTCACACAGTATCATCGAGTCCCAACAAAACAGAGCTTGTGTTATTATACACTTTTTTACATACATAATATACATCATACGAGAATCAACCCACGAAGTAAAGCGATGTGATAAACCGCAAGACCTTCAGAGTCCATTGAAGGCAATAATAAATATATATTTCTTTTTACAGTATTGGCGCTGCGTCAATGGGGAACCGGTCCAGTTCACATGCCTACCCGGGACAGTCTTCAACTCAAAACTAAACGTTTGCGATTGGCCGGATAATGCTAAACGTCTCGATTGCTCACCGTAATTTTAAGAGATATTATTTATATTGCATTAATATTATATTGCAAATGCACTTGAATAGGAATAATTATTTTTAACATTCTCTACTTGCTAAAATTGTGAACGTACTTTACAATTTTAGCAACATCGCTGTGAATTATTAATGAATAAAATATTGTCGTATTTTGTTCACTTTCTAACATAATACGCTAATGTTTGTTATATGATAGATTAATTAGTCATTGCTAGTTAGATTAGTACAATATGTTTTCATAAAAATGTAGTTCAAAAATTCTACGTGATAATTATTCTCAGATATAGGTTAGGATGTAATTGTTATTTATAAATGAGAACATTTAATATTAAATTAAATACTCATAAGATAAAATAACACATACATACCCACATATTTCACTCATTGTGAACTTGAATTAATAATAGTTTTGTATAATTGGTTATTTCCAAGACTGTGTTAAGTTATAAAAGTGATTGTGAAGTTATAAAAGTTCACTTTTTATAGACGTTCATAAATAAGTTCAATGATGCTCGTAGTGGCGGTTTAAGCCGAATTAAGAAACCAAATTTTTTAACAGGTCCAACCTGTTAAAAAAATTGTTTCTTAATTCGGTTCTTAATTTTAGATTTTAATAAATCAATACTTACAAACGACCAATCTTTCTCTTGATTTAGACTTTGCATAAAATAAAACAAAATATTAAAGATTAAAAAAACTTTTAGTTGCATTATGTCCAGCTAGAAGTGCAAGCGCGAATCCCTTAATGCGCACGGCCCGTAGCATTCGCTACTCTTGCCACTAAGCTAATCCGGTACAGTATACTCGATTAGCTAACGGAGAAGGCATAATATTAATTTCTTGGACAATTTGTTACAAGCTGGCGTGGCTCTCCTGGCAGCCAATTACACGCTTCTCGACTTCTACTGAATTTAAATGAAATTTTCAGGACTTCTGAAGAGTGGTTCTCTCTCTAACTAGGTTATTTAAGGTTATTAATTTATTTCTAACAATAATTGATAATAAATAATGTTGTTAACAGATCACCGTTTTTATTATATACCGTTTACACCGTTTATATTATGTTATTTCCACATATAATTTTTGGAAGACTTACTTTTGAATACTATACTATTCAACATCTAATTCATTCATTAATAATAATAATAAACAAATTTCTTTTATTCATGACTGTAACTAATTCATATTAACGAAGCTCAAAGTATATAATAATAAAAATAGTAGCAATAGAGAAAGTAGAGTTCTATGTTTTTCTTGACCACTGATGGATGTAGTAGATGACGATGGATATGAACAATATGTGCTTCCGTTGAACTACAGACGGATAATAGGATGAAGCTGAGGTTATATTAGTTTCTATTGTGATGAATTTACCTAGAATATACTATAATGGTTTCTGTGATGAACCACATTAAGATCTACTACCACTCTTGCTAGGAGATTGATAGCAGTTACTACCAAGAATATAAAATTAAGACATGATCCTATATGTGCTCATAAGCTCAACAGAATGCAAATAGAGGTATTAATATCAAGGTGTAATGGAAAATAATTTTTATTCTTTATTTCAAGGATTTATCTTAGATTTAACGTATAATTAGACTGGAAAGCATTTGACATTATCTTTGTAAGCGAGTAATTTACATAACTAAAAAGGGCCGATGAATTATTCTTTTGGAAGAGCGAGCAAAATTATATATAAGAATAGACAGGCTGAATCTTTTAAATGCGAATGAAGCGGACACCCACTCAAGTAGATAATGAAACAAAAACAGTATTTCGTAGATTCTATAAAAATATTAAGAAGCATTTCTGTTCTACAGATGAATTTAGTATTAGGTATCTATCTTTAGCTAAAAAGAAGGAATAAACAACCATACTGTTACGACTGTCATCTTAGAAGGTTTAGTCAGTCTGCCGATGTCATCAAGAACGTAACATTACATATATAGAGAATCATATAAAAAGATGAAAAAGTGAATAAAAAGAAACACAATAGAGATTAACAAAGCTATATCATTTCTCTTTGGATTTGTTAACAAATCTAAAATGAATTCGTATTCGGCGAAAAATTGATATTTATATTAATAACAATGCGAAAATGAGATGGTCTAAGTTTGTTAGGTTTTCATTGTTATTACAAGGATTGATTTCGTATACTTGAATACACATTATGAAGTAATAATTAAGATATAAATAACTCACAGCGCCCATTCTATGAATTAATAATTCAAATGAAAAACTGTTTACAGTAAACGAAAGTGATGTTTTACACAAGAGTTTTAAGAAGAGATCAAAAGAAAAATATGACGCCATTTTTTTTATGGAAAATTTACGAAAGATGAAGAAAATGTTATTACTTTTAAAAGGATTAATTTAAAAATTATGTATCAAGGTTCCTCGAGGTAATCCTTAAATAATGAAAATACTTTTTACACGGAAAAGGTAGTTTTCCCATGAGATAAGGGACAGTATTAGTCAAAGTTTCAAAATTTGGCAATTACTTAAATATTTGTTTTCTTTTAACAATATCAACCTTGTTTCCAAGTTTTGCTGGGTATTTATTTACTTTAAAGAATTTTTATTATATTGTTCTTTTCGTTTTTAATATAAACAGGCATATTTTTACATAGCAAGAAAGGGACTTGATTTTTATAAGTAAGAAGATTTACAAAAATAGTTAAATATATTAAGTAGGTATACACGCAGAATTCACTTTATAACTATATATACTCTGTGCTTATGCACTTTAAAAAAATTAGCATAATACACAAAAAATATTAATTAAACTAAGAACTCATAAGTCTTTTTTTATTAGATGGGTATGAGACAGCCTTAGGTTATGAGATACAATAGGATTTTTTATATTAAAGTTGGCTAAAAAACTTACGACACACCTAATTATACATGGTTTGCGGATGGCAATATCAGAAGAATGCAGGCGATTTGCCGGTCTTTTAAGGAGGAATAAAATCTTTTTTTAAGGTTTCAATGTCCTGTCGGTTCTGAAATACCATTTTCGGGAGGCGATTTTATAACGTGATTGTATATGGAAAAAATTTTTGGCAGAATGCATGGTGGAGGAAAGTGATTAGTTCAGGTGATAAGGGTGGTTATTTCCATAGTACATTATAACCCTTTACACTTAAGGGTATTAATGACTTTGATATGATATATATAAAATATTCACAGATAATAAAATAGGTACCAGGTTTTTCATTCATAATATTACCATAATATCAATATTCAACTCTGCCGTCTTTGGCTCGCATTTCAAGCATGGAGATTATGGCCGTATCCTTCCATCGGAGGGTTATCATATCAGAAACAGACTGTACAGATTAAGAGCGTTGAGCAAAAAATCTAACTTAGATAGTTAATTATTTCGTTTTTACGTATACTATACATTAAAAAAGCATTAATTTCTAACTAATTTGTTAGCTATAGAATTCTATACAAGAAAAAAAAAATCTGATCACACATAATGAAGATATCGCGTAAAACTCACACATACAAATAATTTCAATTTGAGGTTTTGGACCTAGTCCATTGAAAAGAACGTTTTACATTCCTAAGGATGCAATTAAATCTGTCATATATTATTTAAACCATAAGAAACCTGTTCTTAGCATATTTTTATGTATTCCTGAGCATATTCTTTCATTAAAGTATTTTAGTCTATGTCAAAATTTTATAAGTTACGTCGTTTTTGTATGTTGTTTACGTTTACACAAAAAAGACGAATTGAACGTCTGGCAGTCAGTTGAAAATAACAACTGACATTCCTTTAAGATACATTTCTTAGTAGGTTTTCCTTCATAAGTTTACTGTGGTGTGTGGGTACCCAGGACTTAACTATTTTTAGTACTCACGTACTTTTCATAATAGTAAAAGGAAAACATCGCAAAGTTTTTTATTTATTTTTAGATGGAACGTCTGTGGACAGTTTTCAGTCTACGTGAAAGGTGTGCGTTATATCCCTCGGTTTTATATTTTATATTCTCTTTTATGTACTCCATCGGGTCATGGCGCTTATCTTTATAAAACACCCTCATCTCATTTTAGGACCCTTTATTAAAAAAGTAATAGATTTTTGTTGATGAATAGAGGTTTTTTATATGACTGGTACATATAAGCTTACGGCCCACCTGATAGTAAGTAACAGTCGGATATCACACGCATATAGGGGACAAAGTATACGTTTCTTGCATATATGGATAAGTAATTAAAAGAGACTGTATCTGAATGTAGAGCAATGATATATATACGAGTAGATATCGCTATAAGGATATTTTTTCTAGAAATAAATATATTTACTATTGTATATTTTTGTTTCATTGATAGCGTTATTTATACGTATTCGAACTAAAGTGTATCGTACTATTAGCACTATAGTACATTAGTACACGATGTAGAAGTACATTATTATTATTATTATTTTCTTTGGCAAGCGGCTAGTGTTGCCTATTATGCCACTAAAACAGGAAACGATATTTGTAGATTAGAGATACAGTAATCAAAATTGACGTTTAGCAAATTGTTTCATCAGAGTTTTTATTTTATGAACTGTATAATCACTTAAAATTGGCCATAGTTATATTTCTAAAAAAAAAATTTTTTACTCATATAAAACAATAATTTGATAAGCTTAACTCATCACAGCTAGAATTTGTATCAAACAAGAAATTGTTTTATTACAGGTACATTAACATATAAAAGCGCATCAAAACATATAGAAGAATCTAGATATACAGTATATTAAAAACAAATAAAAAACTAATTTGGGCTCGTCCGGGATTTGAACCCGGGACCTCTCGCACCCTAAGCGAAAATCATACCCCTAGACCAACGAGCCACATGAACTAAAACATGAAATTAACGATTATCTGTATAAATTAATTTTGACAAGTGAAAGGTGCAAATATGAAAGCTACATACATACGTGGAAACCTACATGGTAATGTCGAAGAATATAATATAAAAACATAATGGTGGTTTCGATAAAAACTTATCAACAAATAATAGGTAGTTTATTCACAAGGATTCTTTACGTAATTATATTTCTTATTAATAAATAAAAGTATATTTTGACTAAAAGTAGGTCGATTACCATACATAAGTGAACTGGATTGCAAACAACATAGGGGCAAATGTTATTTATTTTAGGAGTCATTGAAATTCGTAATTAAATACATAAAATACATAATAATTATATGATTTACGAAACATAACATAAGGGGTATAAAAATCCCATAGCATTCACAATACTGATCTTTTTAACAGCTGAGTATAGAATCTCTTAAGTACTTCGAGATAACATATAATCTAAGGTGGTCCCGTATTTAAATACAAATATTGTTTATTATTAAAAATCTAATGATTTATCCAAAGAAATATATCGCAGATTAATTAAATCACTGCATTAACTAAAAAAAAACTATTTAACATCATGGATACAATATACCTAATATGGAATATAATCACTGATGTATGTATTTTAGTTTGCAACTCAGAAAAAGATAGATAAGATCATTTCAATCGAATGTTTCCGAAAGGTAATATAAACCGTATTTTACTATCGTTTTATCAGCTGTTTCAATAAATTGCTTTACGATCGAATATAAATCTTTTATTGAACCTCTGATAGAGTCTATCTGTACGTATAAATATCAATTAGGTACATAATAATAATTCCAACAATGAGTATATGTGTTTAATTTTAAATTGATACTAATGTATTGATATACTTAATTCCTATTTTAAAGAATAATAATAATGTTCCTGTGAACAATTCACACAGCGCTATCTAGTTTCACAGTAAGCAGAGTTGCTTGTTATGGATACTAGACAACTGATACAAATACTTAAATGCATTTTTTAGTAAATATGTACATACATAATATACATATAAAATACTCAGATCAGTAAATTAAGCAGAGCTTGTACTATGAGCACTCGACTTCTATATCCATGCTTTAATACTATTTGCCACTGAATTTTTTTTTCTAATGACAATGCATTT